AATAGAGAGGGTGTGGGTTCACAGCTTCTTTGCATTCTTTGCGCTATTGGGTTGGGGCTGAGGCCCATTTTGGGGCGGGCGGTTCCTTGACAACCATAGGAAGATGCACGCCGGGCAACTAATGTGCGCGCGAAGGCTCCGATAGCTAATTGTTGTAAGACAATTTGCAGTATCCCCCAGAAGAGGAGTGAAACTGGTGAGACCCACAAAAAACTCGCGTTGGGGTTGATAATTTCCCCTGCACTGTTCGGGACATCCAGGTACTTTGCCTTTGGTTTTTCCTTTCAAGCCATCAACAACCACTAGGTGGCCCAAGATTGTCAGACCCCTGTTTGCTGTTTTTTTGGATACCACTTGCAAACAGCCTTGCATGTATCTTTTCCTCCCCCTTTGACGAGTTCTCCCTAGTAACATAGACATTTTGGGAAAGTGGTGTTTTGGACTCTTTTGGGCTTCCTCCCCCACCAACCACCAAAAACCAGCGAAGCCGAATCAGAGGCCTCGCCTTCGCCGGCGCCTTCAGCGCCTTCAGCGCCCCCAGTTCCCCCAGCGCCTCCGGCGGCGCCAGTGCCAGCGGCCGCAGCACCGGCGCCTCCGTCCCCACCGGCGCCTGCGCCGGCGCCGGCGCCAGCGCCTGCAGAGGACCGGAGGGGGTTCTGCCTGCCCGTCACCGAGCGTTTGGTCTCCTTGCCTTTATGTGACTATTTGGTGTTCCGAATTGGCCCCACACAAAGTTCAACTTTTTGAAGAGGGTCAACAGCAACCAAGCTTGTGGTGTTTTTTTTTGTGTGTCTTTTTTTGTTGTTTGGCGTCGTTTTGTGTTTGCCTCCATGTTCGAGATTGATTGTCCTTGATCTTGGCTGGTTTTCCCATGTTAGGCCTCCAAACCAGTCACTCTTTGTTGCCAGGTTCTTTGAGCAAGTGAATGCGCAAGAAGCCCCAAGGAAAGGTTTGTCAAACAGACTCCCTTGGAGATTGGCATGGACCTGTTAAAGCCAATCATTTGATCCGGACCTTTCCATGGGAAACCCTTTTTGCAGGGTGTAGCTGTTCTGGAGACATGTTGTTTGTACCGCCTTTCAAATGATGCTGCATCTTTGAAGCAACCCGACTTGGAATAAACGCGGCGCCTGTGATTTGTTTTTTAACGGACTGAGGCATGTAAAGCCATAACTTACTTAACCAAAAGCAGCTAGCCCTGTCGACTATTAAAGTCACAAGCGCCAACTTGATTAAAAATCGATATTTAATAATATGTTGCTTCTCATACCTTGAATCGCGCCGTGTGTTTCTGAAAGGGTATGCTTCTTCTTTTTTGGGCAGGCGCTTGATTGAAAAAGGATCATGCTGATTCGAACCCCGTGCAATTTCTTGTCCAGGCCGCCCCACGGAGCGCGCAGCCCAACAGCACCGCCAATTCCACCAACAGCACCAACAGCTCCAGCAATAGCACCAACTCCAGCCAGAGCCCCGCCCGCAACAGCACGGCCGCACCAGCGCCCGCGCCCGTGCCCGCGACAGCGACAGCGGCCACAGCTGCGGTGCCAGCGGGACCGGCGCCGGCGGGACCGGCACCGGCGCCGGCTGCTGCGGCGCCTACGGCAGTGGCGAAGGCGGCTAAGGCGGCCGTCGGGGCAAAGGCGGCGAAAGCGGCCGTCGCGACAAACGCGACCAAGGCAAATGCGACAAAGGCGGCAAAGGAGGCAAATGCGACAAACGCGACAAAGAAGCAAGGGAAGGAGGTCAATAAGTCGAGTGCAGACAAAGTGCCTTAGCTGCGGGAGGGGTGGCGTTTGTAATGCTGTTTGTGTGTGTTGCTGTTTTTTTCCAGGTTTGGTGCCACCGTTGCTCGACTGGGATGGTTTGCAGGCAGAGATGTGTTGACGGGTGGGAGGCCGGTGTCCGTGTTCAACAAAGCAATGGGGAGGGTCAACATGGGCATACTTACTCTTTGGTGCATCTTGCTTGGATGTTAGGACTTTAACTTTTTGCCAACTAATGGGCTTTCCATTAAACTTAGCAGGGGAGCAGAAAGCAACCGAGCACTTGGGGCCACACAGCGAGAGTCCAAGCATGACAACTGGGCGGGAGGCCGGCAGGATGAGGCAGGTCTTAATGCAGGGGTCGCCAGGGTTGATGGCATTTTATCGTTCTGTTGCACCCTTGCCGGATGTTTTGCTTTTTGTTTGTGACAGGCGGCATTTTGTCATGTTCGGTCATGTTGGCTTCAAAGAGTTTGTTGTCGCATTCGCCTCAAGCTGTGTCATGGACTCTGAATTGCCTACCCGATTTACCTGTTCATTTTGTTGAATCCAGCAGGCCACGTGCGGGAACGTTGCAAGGCCTTTTGAGCTTCGTGAAGGCTAGTGCATCCAGGATCCTGCTTTTCCCAAGCGGGAATCATCCCAGCAGGAAATTTTATGTTTAGCGGCCGTGGGATCAAAACCGCGGGCCACGAATCCAGACGAATATTCTCAAACATTCGGATTTGACAGCTAGCAGTGCTCCACATGCAGGCGAATTGCTGGTTTGATTTGTTTTCACAAATCCGGTAGGATACGGTGCCGAACATGCCTACAAGCAGGTCAGGCTGTTGCTTGCATTCACCCTTGTCAGCTCTTTTTGTGCAGGGGTGGACCAGGACACGCACATGCAAGCCTTGTACAATATACGCACGTTGAGGTCACGTCAACACTGTGTTACAAATTGAAGGTTTACTAAGCATGGACCAGAAACAAACATATTATTTGTGGTTGGGAGCAAACTCTGAGGTGGATTGAGGCACCTTCTTTGGATTCGCTGCTTTCTGTTGGAGGGATGTCCGGCAACACTTGAGGCCGAGCAAGCGGCAAAGAACAAGAGCAGGCGAGGGCAGCAAGCAAGCCCGTCGCCCCTCACAGTGAGCTTTTTGACAAGCAGAATTTGGTGGTCTATTTCCCATTTGGGATAAACGTGGGAGAACTCACTCTCGTTTTTCTACAAGCACCAGGACACTCACTGTTTTTTCGAAAGTCATCTCATGGCATCCGGGAAAAGCAAGCCATGTTGACCGTGGGTCACGTGTTGAGATTTCTGCTTTTCAAGCATGGAAGGGGCGTAGGCCAAATAGAGGGCTTTTCCTCATACATGTGGGAGGCTCGTCTTCTTTAGAGTTGGTCCCCTTTTTGCGATGGTTCAAAGGGAAATTAAAAAAACCCGAAATCACTTTGGGGTCCCCCCCCAAAAAAGCAGCCGTTTGCAGGGTGTTCAAGATTTGGAGCTCTTTTGCTATCTCCCTTTCATTCCGGCGGTGCAAGGCAGCACCAAAGTTCGACAAGGGGCCCTAGTTCTGACACCCCACCTTCTGTCCGATTGTGGGTGCAAGGAGCGGGGGGGGGGTGGATTCCCCGTCGGTGATGTCTCACGAAGCTCGCTATGGCAGAGTTGCAGCCAGCACCTGGAATCCATCGGGTGTTCCGAAAAGGAAGCCCTTGGAAAGTCCTCGTGGGCCACGGGTTCCAATTGGGGTAAATTCGAAATGTGCGGATAACCTCCCATTAGTGTTTCTGCAGGGTTCCCCATATGGTGTCCTCTTGGTGATATGGACCAGGATTTGTTTGGTCAGTTTAAAGTGAGTGTCTCTTTTAAGGAAATTTGTTGAAATGGACTTGCGCATGTGCTGCGCCGCTTTTCGTTTAAGTGGTGGGTGAACCACTGCTATTCACAGAGATCAAGAAGGCACATGAGGAGTGTACGGAGACTAGGTGTTCTTCTAAAACGAGGATGTTTCCAATGCTTGTCTCTCGCGCTTCTTGGGGGCGGCGTATATCGCATAGCTGCGAATACTCTTGCTGCCTGCGCCGGATCATTTTTGGGGATAGCGCACACGTCATCGCCCGCCCTGAATAGTGGTTGGCGCAACCCTAGGGAGCGGGATGTGCATGATGCTTTTGACTTGGCGAGCTCACCTGGCAAGCCGACTTCAGATGAAGGCCCTATGCTAGCAGTTGCCTTGTTTCTGGGTAGAGTTGTATTGATTTGGTCAGATCATGTGGTGTTCGTTGGTCCTGGCAATTGAGCCTCCAGACTGGAAAGTTGTGGTTTAGGTGGCTACGTGCCGTAGTAGCATTCAAAGTGGAGGATGGGGACTTGTATGTTGGTGGTACAGAAAGGGGGCAAGCAGTTGCCACAATCGCAGTAAATAGGTTCCCTGGTTCCCTTTGTAATTTTCTTACGGCATCCACCGTAGGTCTTAGAGAAACGACACGGTTTTCGATGCCAAATGGCTGGTACCGGTGACCCCCCCGTTGCAAGGCAGGACTCCACTTCCACTTCCGAGGCGGGATGGGAGACTCCTGCATTTGCATGGCTGGCTTGGTAGGGAATGAAGCCCTACCAACTATGCCAGTGGGGTGGGGTGGGCTGGGGTGGGGTGGGGTGGGGTGGATCCATTGACCCGGTTGTTGTAATGTTGACCCCGGATTAATAAACCCCCATTTATTAATATGGGGGTGTTCCCCTCCATAAGTGACAAATCCCGACTATAACCATGGACACCCCAATATTAACAAACAGGGGTTTATTAATCCGGGGTCAACATTAGGGATCAGGGGATCCATTGATGGTGAATCGACAAGAGGTAAGCATTGTAGGTAAGAAGGGCTTGCCACCCAATCGACAAACCAAATGGAAGATGGCGGAGGGTTACTGTATAGTAAGGTAACCGGGATCCACTGGCTATGCCTGGTCGCTTCCAGCAAGTTGCTATTATTGGTTTCATTTTTGGGGGGAACCAAGGCGGACTCAGGGGAAGTAAAGTTAAGTTCTTGCCGTTTTGCAGGGACACTTCTCGGGCTCTGGGTGATGTTTGATGCTTTCTTCCGCTAGCACCCCAGCTGGCTAAACCCTTAATGAGGCCTTGCTAGGGGGGTAATCGTGGGCATATTCAAGTCTGGACCCCCCCTCCCCCCCGCCATTGGTGTTTGGAGTTTGAACTGTTCGGCAGAAAGCTCAACTTCCGCAGCTTTACTACGGCTCCGATGAGCGATGCGGGCCCGGCGGGGGCTTGCGCTGCTGCTCCTAGCTGCGCATGTTGCCGCTCAGAGCCTGCCCTCCGTGGTGGACGCTCAAATCTCCATTGGAGTTGTTCCGAGCTATTCTACCTATGCGGCGCAGGGTGAAAACGAGCTCACTGTGAGTAGGGCTTTTTGCTTGGGAATCCCCTTGTTCGAAGCAACCAGCGACTGGAAAAAAGATCGGCAGCAACTCCGTTTATGTTGCCAATGTCCTGTAGAACTTCCTGTAGCTGGTTTCTCTTATTTGTTTCATATTGAATCGCAGTAATAAAATAAATGCAGATTGGAGGTATTGGAGTCCTCGCTTGCCATTTCGCGGGGGCAGTTGGTTTTCACATTTGAGAGTGTTCCAGTGATGTTTCTGTGTGCAGCCAAGGTTGCTTTTGAATCTGTACGGAGAACGTTGGAAGGCTGCTGCAAAGGGGGTTCAGTCCATGTGTTTCACCAGGCTTGTGAGGACAGAGTGTTGTTTTCATTTGGGGGGAGAGGGGGGTTGGAGGCCTCCTTTGTATTCGTACCATGTGTGTGTGGCATTCCTTGGAGTCACTAAGCATTTGGCCCATGCCTGAAATCACATCACACTAAAAAAGAAGCACGCCAAAAACGCGTGTTTTTCACCCAGGGTTGGCCGCCAAGACTTCCCAACTGTTGGGTGGTACCCTTCCCTCGGTCTCACTTGAACTGATTAACCCCAACCAGGGTTCCTTCTTGCCAGGGTCGATGGGCTGGGACTTCCTCGTAAACATGTTTGAGTTCGGCCCCTTCAAGTGGTACATGATGGTATATGGTTGATTCCTGTTGGAGGTGTGCCAAACTTTCAACAAGACGGCCTTGTGTCACGTTCACCTGACTGGGTGCCTGTTGCGTGCCTTTCGTTTGACTTGATATTGGCGTAGTTTTCCTGTTTGTGTTTGTTGGCTGTATGTTGTCCCATATCATTTCCATATATTTTGTGACAAGTGTTCGTTCAACCAGACCAACTCCCATGCAAATTCGGGGGGGTTCCCTTTTCCAGTGATTGGGAAGGGAAGGGGTCCTGCGTGTTGTCCGAAGTTCGTACCGCTTTTCTACTCTTGCTGGTTTGATAGTCAGGGAATGAGTTGGAACTGGGGCCCTGTATGCTATCTCCCTTTACGGGAATCCCCTTCTGGTTCATACCCAAAACCCTGGATTCCCTACTGAGCACCAGCAGGTATTTGGCATTTGCTTCCCAGTGGTCCAAACCGAGCGGATTTGACCTGGTTTTCCCATTTTGAGTTCCCGTGTGACTGGTCATGGCCCCTCAAGGTGATCGCCATTGCTAAGGGCAACATAGTACCTTCTTTCTGGCTGTCTGGTTTGGGGCTAGCCAGTCCATCAAACATGGATGCTATGTTTTCAAGGCAATTCACGCTTCCCAATAATCTAAGAAACCAACTACAGAAAGTTCTACAGGAAACCCCTGATTTTGGTGGGAATTTGCCTAGTTTCCCTTAGAATTTCCGGTAGCTGGTTTCTATGAAATAAGCCTCGATGCGCGTGATTGCCGAGAAAACGCGGCATTCCTAGAAAGCCCGGCTGCCCGGAACACCGAGCTGGCGCCGCTTGGGACGCATCCCCAGCGGAGCCGAGGATGTGCTGAACGCGCTGCCGGTGCTGACCACCTTCCGGGACTCCCTGCGGGAGACGGAGCTCCTTCAAGCCTTGGAAGGCTTCAGTGAGACACGACCCAGCTGGTTTCTGGGCCCAGAACTCACCCAGCCAGTGGGCGCACTTTACACGTTTTTTCCTTGGTGGCTCTCCCTTTCGTTGTGGCCCAAAAAGTGTGCACTTCTTCTTGGCTGGTCACTGGCCAAGTGAGAGAAACCAAGACCCCAGGGTTCCTTGCCCCCATTGAAAGCAAGAACCCAGCTTGGATGAGGACAAGCCTGAGCAAACAATGGCGGTATGAGCCCAACCGCTGTTTTTTACTGGTGGTTTGAACCGGGCAGAGGCGGGGTTTGTGTTTTTGAACCCTGGGAGTGCGGCCCACCCTGATTCAGAATAGCACGGTTTGATCCGGACATAGCCGGAGCATGGGGTCATTTTCTGAGAACAAACCAAGAGTCAAAGTGGAGGTCAACAAAACCCGCCCAGGTGGTGGCAGAGAGGGGTCTCAAAAAGTTGGTCTTGAACAGATCGAACCAAGCCTCAAGGATGGGACATCGGCTTGATTTCTGGTTCTTCCCTTCGCGCCCGCTAGCACGGCTAACATGGAGCTTCTGGAAGACCATATTACTCCAAAACAAACTTTGGTCTAGTTTAGGGTGTGTGTGTGTGTGCGCGTTTGTTTGTGTGTATGGGAGGTTGCTCTTTGTGCGGGCAGCAAGGAAGAGCGTGCAAATGCCGGGCTGTCGCGTCGCTTCTTCTGCAAACCCATCTCGCCTGTGTTTGGCACATGTCCCGTGCAGGTGCGGGGCCCTTCACAGAAGCTCGGCAGGATGATGCAAGCGGGGCTTGCCCTTCCCAGCAATCCTTGCCCCCCTGAAAACAAGTCTAAACTTCTCCTTTTTAACCACTAAAACGGTCCAAACCCCGGAAAATGTCAAGTCCCGGAGCTTCTTCTTTTCAACCACCAAGACGGTCCAAGCCCCACAAAATCATAAAGTCCAGGAACCCGCACCCGGCCAACCTCCACGTCCGGGCCAGACCACGAAAACTCGCCCTCCGCCGTTCGGCGCGCGGCTCGCTCGCTCGCTCGCTCGCAAGATCTCAGGTCTTCGCGCCCAGCAACACGGCCATCGACCTCTTGGGCCCCGGCGTCCTGGAGACGCTGCGCTACGGCCAGAACTCCCAGTACTTCCTGGAGCTGCTGCAGTGACCTGGCTGGGAGTCCAGGGTGTTGTTTTTTTCGTTCCAGGGCTTCCCAGCCCCCAAGAAGAATTCATATTTGGTTTTTCTCACTTTCTGAGTTCATGAGCTTGAAGCTTGTTGGGAAGATCATTGTAGTGGTAAACATAAAGTTTGGACTTTTTTGGGGCCATCCACTCAGAAAGTGAGTATGTTTTTAAAAAAAAATGACACACACACACACACCCCACAAAGGCACCCAAAAGGAACCGCCTGAAGAAATTCTACCGATAAGCTTCCTGCCTGAAGTCTGGCCTAGGATGAGATCAGTGACAAAGCTGGTACTGGGTGCATGGACAAAGCCAAACATGGGTTTTCCGAAGAAACAAAAACAGAAGAAGAAAACAAAAACAACAGGAAACAACACATGTTTGGGGTTTAAGTGCTAAATAGCATAGTTCTGGCTCGCTTCTCCGGAGCCAGGTACCATGTGGTGTACGCCAACGTCGGTAGCAGGCCGGAGCCCGGCGATTCGGCAACGTGACAAACTGGTCATGGGGATTTGGGATTCGACTGCGCAGAAGCGGAGGATTGTTCTACAACGATGCAGTGTGAAGAGATGCACTGCGCATTTTTCTCGGGTGTTACAAGATGAGATTCTCTCCTTGCAAAAAATTCAAGGTCCCCCCCCCTTCGCCCTCCAAGGGGGCTTGCTGCGGGCTTATCCAGGATCTTGTCGTGGGGAAACAGCGAGAGTCTGAGAGGTGTGTTCGGGGGATGGGGTGGAAGCCCAAAAAGGAGAGTCCTCGACTGGTGGCATCTTGTGCTTCGCGGCAATCTGCAAGAGTATCCCTCGGTTTTTCGTTTGCAGCTCAACCGCTTCCATTTCTTCACGTTTCTTGGCAAGTTTGTGTTTGTTGCCTCTGTTCATTTTTAGTAGGGAGCGGCAAAAGACACAGTGTTTGCCAGGTCATACCAAGGGTTGTGAAGAATTAAATGTTCTGTACGGGACTTGGCCGGTGCAGGAATCAATTGTGGCCAGTCCTGCTTTATGTTCTCATCCTGAATGGATAGGAGCATTCCAGAAGCCCAGTGGTAACGTTTGTGCTTGTTCTTCACAAGGGCACCCAACTGACACACCTCTTAGTAGTCTACTGTTGGTTTGGGGAGTATGTTGGAAGACCACCCACATTTCTCATGACAACCAGGTTAGTCATACTTCACCCTATGCAGCGTAGTTTGGACATGCTTGGGCTACCTCTAGCATGTTTTGTGGGCATAAAAATGCAGCACGGATTGTGCACCAAAGGGCCCGCCAAGAAAATGTTCATACCTATATGTCACCGTGTTCCGCGGGCATCCTTGAGGTTTCCCCCCCACCTGTTCCCCTTTGTTCCCCTTTCAGTGATACCAGGAAAGCTTGCATGTGAAATGGCCAAATTGGTCATTGGAAAGGCTTCCACTCATAGAACACAGAAGCGCGTGCAATTCCCACCCTGCATATGTGTGTGTGTGCACATGTATTTCCTCTCAACAGCATCATGTTCCGCATTGTTCCCTATACTTCCCTATTTTGACTCTACTACTGAAAGCTGCTTGGAGAGACCATGTTTATGGTGAACAAACCAATCCATTCCGGAACTGAGCCGATATTTCCAATGATGTTCCACCTGCTGTCCTCCCCATACTACCCTATGTTTACCCTTTGTATAGCCTTCTTCCCCTATTACCCTATGTTTACCCCATATAACCTTGTATGCTCCCCCATATGTCCACCATGGCCACGCAAAAAGCACAAAGCTCATGTCTCCAGCTTCCAGCTTCTGGGTGTCCACTTGGTGCGCCTTGATCCGCCAGTGACATGTCGCCGGGCCTCACGCTCATGACTTGGAGCTCGAAGACGCTGGAGATCACGGACGTGGCCCCCAGCATCCGCGCCTCGACGTTTTTCATGGCTGGGGGGGAGGGAGGGAGGGAGGGAGCCCCAATAAGCCCCAAATAAGGCCCTATTAGGGGCTTAAGGGCTTATTTGGGCTCTCCCTCCCCCTCCCTCCCCCCCAGCCCCCATGAGTTTTTGCTGAAAATCTTCGTGGCCAAGGAAAGCCCAGCGGCTTGCCACGGGAAAACACGTAGAACCCCATGTCCCAGAAGATGTTCGTGGCCAAGCGGTTTGCCACTCGTAGAGCCCAGCAATTGGTGCCCTTTCTCTCCCCTTTTTTGGGGCTCCGCGCCTGAAGCAGCAGGAAAGAATCGCATCCAGTCGCCAGGTCCCACCTGTGGGAGATGTGCCACTCCCAAACCACTTGTGTATGCCCTGCACATAGTCGTTATTTGAAAAGCACAAAAAGAAAAATCGAGTCGCCATGTCCCAGCTAGGCTAGGTCCCCCAGGTAGTGTTTCTTTTTTTGGGGAGGCCACCTAGGCTTTGTTGCATTTTGCCAAGGGATGTTAGGACTTTAACTGTTTGCCAACTGATGGGTTTTCCATTAAACCACTAAAAGTTACACTTTTAGCAGGGGAGCAGAAAGCAACCGAGTAGGGATGTTTGTTGCCAAGTAGGTTTTTGTGGTTTGCCATGGCTTGCCATCGATTCGGCACAACCCCCCTAGCAGGGCTAAAAAAGACTCGAATCGCCATTCCCACTCCCAAGCCACTTGTGTATGCCCTGTGCATAGTGGTTACAAAAAAAGGGTTGTATATGGCTGTATACCCCATGTTTGTTATTTTTTCTTGGGGTAGTTTGGGGTAGCGGGCACCATCTTAGATTGAAGGCGGGTTCTTTTGCAACCGTCTCCCCCCCCCTCGCAGTCAAGGATGTCTTCCCCTCACACCTATTCGGTATAACCCACTAACAGGGTTAACTCTGCTGAAGGGAACTTCCAAGCAGGTTATAGCTTAGGCTGCTATCAACTTGCTAACTTGGCCGAATTTCCAAGCAGGGCCGGGGGATTGAAAAGCTTTTCAGGCTGGTTTCAAGGGAAGCCACAAGAAAACCACCATTTTGGGGGGGGTCTCCCCATTTCAACATTCCAGTACCACTATGGCAGGTAATTAGAGACAAAGGTCCATTGCTGTTGGGAAACATTTTATATGTTTGCTTATTGTGGTTTGGTGGGAAACGTTTACGTAGCTGCTAAAATTTATTTTTTTTTGCCCCACTTCCAACGTCAACCAAGTAGAGGTGAACATACCGAAGGGCTACTTATATTGGCTTTCCTGGAAGCACTGGGATTGGAAAATAGGGTGAAGATCCATTACTTCTTTGCTTGTGCTACCGGGGCTGATGCAACCACCACGGCGGGAATTGCACTTTCGACCTTTGTCTAAAGGTATCCAAATGAGCAGTTTCCTTTGGTTGCTATTTAGAACCTGAAACCGCACAGAGCCATAATTTTTGGGTAGACTGCTGTAATCCCGCGACCTCAGTCGCCAAAGGCAAATCGACCCTTTGACCTTTCCATCTTGAGTCATGGCCCCACAGGGCTACCCTCCTGTCCAACATGGAACTCCAGAGGGTTTGTTTCAAAGGAAAGCCAGAAACGTCAAGCTCCAAGGTGGACAGCAGGGTATCCCACTCAGTTGCCCAAAGGCCGACCTTTTGATCGTTTGGTGTTTTTCCTTTGTGGAGTCATGGGCCCAAAAGGTGCTCTATCTTTCCAGGTCGCCAAAGGGCAGGAGATCAGCTTCCTTGGTGGGGTCAACCCAAGAACCCGTGGCTCAAATCCAAATGCAAGCCCAGCCAAACCACCAAGTACCTGAGACGAAGGTACCAAGCAAACAAAACATAAGCTCAGTTTGAAGAGTAAGATAGCTAAGAGAACCAACTCGAAAGGCAACTGGTTAACCAGGTAGGTAACATATACCCAGATATCATCATAGGTACCAAGTGGTTAAAGAGCTTCGAACACCAATTACTTGCTGGTGCTCAGTAGGGAATGAGTAGGAATGACCCCTACAAAACATCCAACTGGTGGTGTCCTTTAAGGGGACCCCCGGGTTCATTCCTTCGTTCCCTACCTATCGCACCCGCAAGATGAAGGGTAACCTGAGCCTGGGTTCATTATTTGACCACTTCTGGGGGTCATCAAAGTCAGAAACTCGGGTGGTTTCCTTTTAACCCACTTGGGGGGTGACTTTGATAATTGTAAAACAATGGGGCCAGTGAGCTGGGCGACTCGACTCATCGCCGTTCGCTCCAAGTCGTGAGGCCTCAACGGGGTAGCGCCGGTGACGCAGGCAGACGTGGCGTGCTCCAACGGCATGGTACACGTGGGGGGCCTCAGCCGGGGGCCGGGGGCTGGGGTTCGAAGCGGGGGTTTTCCATTAAACCCACCCTAAAGTTCAACCCTCATCAATAGAAAGGTCGACCCCCAATTTTGATTACCTCTTAAACACACAACTTTTCAACCTTTTTGGGGGTAACATGGGCTATATGTCTGTAAAAGATGAAAACTTCCCCAGGGCTTGGAATTTTAAGGGATAAACATTAGGTAAACAACGGTGGTTGTATGAGCCCAACCACTGGTTTCATGCTGGTTTGAACCCCGGGGCCCACGAAAGCTGAGATTTTTCTTTTGCAGAGGGGTCAACCGCAGCCAGGTCAAGGATCGCCCACGTTACTTTTGGGCGTGTCCCTCTAAAAGCCACAGATCTAGAGCGTAGTTCTTGCTCAGCGGTCCAAAACTGAGCTTTTGGTTTTGTTGGGCCCTGTGTGAAAGTGAGCATGGGTTGAGAAGCATAAATTATCTTATTAAATGATCGGGCTCCCAGTTGAAATTCAATATCTTGCGCCCAAGGCTGAGACCAGACTTTCGGATTTGGTTGGAGTTCACTTGGCGCGTTTCAAAGGACGCCGGCTCACCAACTCCAAAACGCTTGTGTTGCTCAAGCCCGACCGCTTCGGCTTTCACGGTGGATGTGGGCGCAAGCGGAGGGCTTGTTTTCAGGGGCGAAGGGCTGTGAACCCAACAGAGGCGAACACTCCTAACTGACTCCTAACAGAGCCTTACGGGGTTGCTGCGTCATTTTGAGGCTGTCTTTCAGGATCTCGACAGAGTTTGTTGCTCTGTGCAACTGTGGATGTACCGTGGTCGCTTGAGGATGCCCAGTTGCCAAGTGGTACCCTTGATTCCTTTTTTTGGGGGAAGGGTTCCCCTTGAACCAACCAACAAAAGCATGCCGCTCTCTTTTTTTTCCTCCATGGAAATCCGCTTGGCATCTGAGGACGTCTTCCAAGAAATGGGGAGCCCAGTTCAACCGCCGCCCAGAGGCCGCCCACGGCCGAGAGCTTTTGGGCCGCTTCTGGCGGTTCAGCTCAGGTGCTGTCGCGGGTGGCGCGGCCCCCGGCCTTCAGCTTCCCGCCGCCCCTGAAGAACATCCTGGAGCTCACCCAGGCGACCTCCGGCGAAATCCGGCGAAGAAATCGCCGGACGAGCGCCGGACGCGGGAAAACGCGTCGTGCGGTGGTCAGGTGGTTTTATTTAATATGGCTTTTTCCAGCAAAATAAAGGGAAACCGCCATTTACAAGGCAATGTTCAGGTGTATAATGTAAGGATCCCTGTTTATACCACGCATAGGGGCAGAGAAGGGCTGGGCTTTGGGTTTTTCATCCGGAAAGCTTTTAAGGGCAAGGCACGGGTGTTGGGAGGTGAGGTGGTGATTTATGCCACGCATATGAGGTGTAGAGGAGGTGAGGGAAAAAGACGACGATTCTCAGTCCCTGCTCAAGACCTTTCTCTTCCAATTTCTGCGACAGGTCTAAAGCAAGTTCAGGCAGAACGACCGTTTCCCAGAACTAAGAGTAAGCCATAGCTTTCAACTTGTCACTGTTGGAAGAGGTCCGGTTTCAGGTTTCAGGTTTCAGGTTTCAGGGGCATGGGTCTTGGAGGTGAGGGGGGTATTTATATATGCACGCATATGAGATGTAGATAAGGGCAAGGTATGGGTGCTGAGCCTGGGTGTTGGGTTTTGGAGCACAGTTGGCGAATCGAAGACATCTGACCGAATCTGGTTTTCCCATGTTGGGCTCCCGTGTGAATCGTCATGGCCCCAAAAGGTCATCAGCTTATTTCTAGGTCCCTAAGGGGCAACTGAGAATAAGCAACTCCAATGACAACATGGGATGAAGAAGTGTTGGGATTTGTTCGAGGCTGCTGACAGGTCCCTTTAAAAGGGAAGAAGTCTTCCAGGACACCTCTGTCACGTCAGGTTCCATGTTAAGAACGGTGGGAGGGTAACTGTGCTGTCCCCTTTTCTGGTCCCCTGCTACAAGTGAGTGGGTGAAATGGAAACCCAACCACTAAACCAAATAAAACCACTAAGCACCGGTGGGAGTGCAGATCCCGATTTTGCGGAAAACCAAAAGGCAGAAAAGGAAGCTTATTGTGGGGTCGGATTCCTAAAAGAAAGAGGCACCCATCTCGGATTCCATATTAAGAAAGGTGGGAGGGTAACAGCCCAACCTTGGGTGAAATGGACGCCCGACCACTAAACCAACTAAAACAACTATACACCTACATCGGAAAACAGGAAAACCTGCCGACAGGTCCCTTTAAAAAGAAAGTCGTCTTCCAGCACCCCCTTGTCACGTCGGTGTTAAGAACGCCGGGGCTGTTTGCTTTGAAAGGGAATCGATCACTCCTGGACATATTTTTCAAATTGTTCCCAGGGGGCGAAAAAGCAAATGGAAGCAACTGGGAATCACGGGAGTGATTCCCAAAATGGGTTCGGACTCCTCAAAGAAAAGAGGCACCCATCTCGGAGAACCGGAATCACCGGGAAGGATGTCAACCGCATTTCCGTTTTTCCAGGGGGCGAAGAAGCAAATGGAGGTATCGGACAACTGGCATCACCGAGACATGGTTGTTGTTGGGAAACTGTTTTTCCATTTTTGCTTCTGCTATTTAAACAAATGCTCCCCAAACCCAACGTCAACCAAGGGGAAGGATGTCAGCCGCATCGAATTTCCGAGTCCTCCTCGTACCTCACGAACTTCGGCACCGGCTTGGAGCTCAGCGGCCTGGCGGAGGAGTTCTCGGACCCCCGCACGGAGCGGGCGGCTGGGCTGCAATTTCGGGCTGCGGCGGCGGGGGGGGGGGGGGGATCGGCGGGCTGGGGATGGGGCAAAACGAAGCTGCGGGATGTGGCAACCCAGGCACATTTATCGTGGGACCCTCAGACAAACCCAGGCAAGTTTATGTGGCAACCCAGGCAAACGAAGCTACCTCAGACACCCGGTGGTACCCTCTAATTGCACAAATAGACTCTTTTTCTGGTGGGCCTAAAGATAGCTCCAAACCGGGCTCCCCTTTTCCCCTTCCCCGTTCGAGGCCCTCACGGTGCTGCTGCCCACAGACGCCGCCTTCGCGAATCTGGGCCTGGGCATCGCCAGCTCCCTGCAGCTTGACTGCTATTGGGTAACGGATCTTTACACTTTGACTTTTTGGTTGAAAGTTGAAATCACTAAACCCCCAAAAAGTTTCACTAAAAACCCACCAAAAAAATCAAGTGAAAAGTGAAAGTTTGCCACCAAACCCCAAAAAGTGAAACTCACTCTTTGCAGGGGGGGCTTGCCAGCAAGGCAGCTGCCGGCGAACTTGGATCATTTGCTGCGGCTCCTGAAGCGCGGACGCCCAAGGAGCTCGAGCAGGGGTTGTGGGAGGGATCACTTGGCTAATATTGGCTTCGTTCTGAGCACTACTTTGTGTTTTTGGTCTTTGCCACTCGCGTGCAACTCAGTGCGCGGCGTTCTTTCCTTGGGGGGGGGGGCCCACTTCTGTGATACAAGTTGGGAATCTCCCCCTTGGGCGGAGAATGTCTTTGAGAAGCCCTTCTGTTGTATCACAGAAGGGGATTTTGATGTCCCACAGCCGCGGCTGGGGGTATCCAAATTTGAAGGAGCAAAGCGTTTTGGGGTATTTAGGTGTTTTGGGAAGCCGCTCTATCAGCCGCCCCGCCATTTTGGGAGGGAGTCAAGGAGCCTCCACCCGGTCTCCAAGTTTGCTTTAAAATAGGGAGCTAAGGAGCATGGTAGCAGTTTTGGGCTTGAACGCCTTACCTGGTGGTTGGAAGGGCGCCGGACTTGGAGCTGCGGTATTCAAGTTTGCCTTTAAAGACGGAGCTAAGCTAAGGGTCTTTGTTTAATGTTGTTTGGTGCTGTTCATGTTTAGTAGGATGCGAAAGAAAAAAAACTTGTTTTTGCTACCGTACCCAGGGGTGCAAAGCTCTTCAATCACTGGAAGAATGCGTTTTCCAACAGTGGAGGTGTTCTGGGAGAAGTGGGGTAAAATTGTTATGAGACCACGGATTTGTGTTTGTGTGGCCCTTTGTATGTGTCCAACCACATCCAGCTATAAGACTTGCTGCGGTAAATCATGGAGTTTTCCGCTGCTTCCCCGGTTTCCTTTGTAGGGCATCCATCACAGTCCATCATTGGCATAACTTGAATACAACGCGTTGGCCCCCATTCAGAGCATGGATGGCTGTAATTCACGTTGCCCAATGGGGATACAGCACGGAGCTGGTCAAAGATAGGGATCTTGGAACGTTGTTGCGGAAAGCGAATCGCCCGGTTGCAACCTTTCGGCTTCTCACTCCACATTTCATAGCCCAAGATGATTATGGGGGGGGGACATACTTGTTCGGGAAACCCGACTGAAACCTGAAGCCCATGCTGGGTCCCGGTTCCAACTCTGGGAAATGACCAAGTCCGGGTGTTGGGAATGAACCCTTTTGAGATTTCCTTATAAAGGAACTCAGTCGGGGATTGTTTCTAGGGCTCATTCCAACTCATTCCCCGAGAAGCAGCAGGTACCAGCTGTGTGGATAAATCGCTGGATGGCTATTTGGGAGCAGATCTTTGGACTGATCCCTTTGGGTGGAAATTGGAAACAGCTGGAGTTTTCCGAATTGGACCAACAAACAGTGTTCAGCCTGTTGCAGAGGGGTCTCACCCGCAACCAAGATAGGAACCACTTGCTTCAGCATCACAATTGGAACAAAGTACTTAGCAAGCTGTGGATTTTCGAGGTTAAAATTTTCAAGGCCCCGTTTTATACCTTTTGTTTGCTGGGCGAACCCCCGAAAATCTGCAATCCGCAAGATCCTTACCACAGGGGTTATGCAAGGATTTGGTCCCCCTTTGTCTTCCCTAAAGGGATCATGGAAAATCGGATTGGCCAATCCTCCATGTTGAAGCCCCCGAAAAGGCTGTCATGTACTTCTATCAGGGTCCCCGGTCAACTGCAACCTAGGTATCACGCGGTGCGTGGAGTGCATGCAAGCGCTGCGCCCCGTTCTGCGTTTGATGCCGGCGGGATAGGTTGCGCACCGTTTTTGCGTCACCAAGGGAAGCCAATCAAGAAACCCCTGGTTGATGTTGATTGGGGTGTACGTTTCATTGCAATGTTGACCCCAACATTCATGAATCCAAGTTTTTTTGTCGGGGGGTGTTTTTGGGTTGAGCGGGGAAAGCCCACACCTTTGGAGGGGAACCACCCCTATTAAACTGGGGTTGGTTCATCTGGGGTCAAAATTAGAGGGACCCCCTTCGCTTTAATCCGGGGTTGACATGAAAGGGTGTTGGCCAGCGCTGGGTTGGGGCGGCCCCGGGTTTTGGGCAGCGCAAAGAAGCTCCAGGCCACGGAGTTTGGCTCAAGTTGGGATTTTGACTTCCTGAGTTCAGGAACTTTAAACTTTTTGGGAAGACCATTGTAGTGGTGAACATAAAGCTTGGACTTTTTTTGGGCCATCCATTCTTGATTGGGCTTGTGGAGGAGCAGTTTGTTCGCGGGGTGTTGGTCCCCTTCCGTATGTTGCTTCCGCCATTCTTGCATGCGGCGTCCTTTTCCAAGAGTCACCAACTTCAAGCAGGTAACAGACTCCCCATTCTTTACGGATCTATAATATAATTTCCTTCATTTTTACACTGTAATTCCCGCGGCCAATAGATAGCAAGTGAACGAATATGAGGGAGAAAGGGAATCAGGAGATGGAAGATCAATTGCCTCGCTTAATCTCATGGATCCACCAACATGATACCAGTGCTCCAAAGCCGACCTTTTGACCTTTTGGTTTTCCAATTTTGGTCCATTTTTAGTAGAGGTGCCAAAAGGTTAACCTTTTAGTTCTGGGTCCTTTGGGCAACTTTAGTATATTATACCAGTGCTCCAAAAAGGGGTGAACCTCAAAACCGGGTCCCATGGCCGCTCCCAGGCCACCCGTCCCCCGACCCCAACGACCCAACGACACGAGCCCCAGGACCTCGCCCCCGGGGAGAAGTTGCAGACGCTGGAGGGCAGCGACGTGACCATCACCTCGGTGACCCCCGGCATGCTGGTGAACGAGGCCACAAACCCACCCGGGACCACGTTTGTCCATGGCCCGTAAGTGTAAACATATGTGATTATTTATATACAGATATGTGTTTGTATTTGTGTTTTTTGTTTAAACAGTGTGCTGTACCCTGCTTTAAGGAGGTATTCTCTAAGGCGCATGAACTTTTTCCAAGATCACCCCCCCCCCCCCCCCCAAAGAAGGCCTTAAGGCTTCAGGGTTTGACAGGTGGCTAAAAGCCCTTTTCCTGCAAAATCGTCCCCGGGCCCTTCATTTCGAGGCCACTGTGATCAGTCGCGACGTGCCGGCCACCAACGGCATGGTTCAGCCATGCGGCAGCAAATGAGCCGTGCCACCCGCAACCGCAGGGTCCAAATGGAGTTGTGTGTTGGCTTTGAAGGGAAGGCAAAAGGAACTCCCATTTTGGGGTCCCCGAATTTGGGTCCAAACCAGAATGCGGGTGTGTGGCAAGGCTCATGGACCAAGTTCTTCTGCCAACCACCTGGTCCTACCCCGACAAGACCATCACGCCGCTTGACGAATGAGCGCCGTGTTTTGTTTTGTAGGGACCCCCCAAAATGGTGGCCACTCTGCACTCTGCTTTTGTTTCCATGCTGTTGTGCCAGCATCCGGGATGATCCTCAGGGCTTTGCGGGGGTCATGAAAGTGCGCCCCCTTGGCTTTTTTACGCCTCTCCACGTGGGTCAATCTTTTCCTGCGTCTCTTTTGCAGTCAAGACGAAGGGGGAACATGTTTTGGTTGTTTTGCAACATTTGAGCCCCTGAAGTGATGTTCCCTTCTTTTCTCATGAAGCACTATCCAGCTAGGGTTTCCTGTCAAGTCGACCCCCCCCTTCTTGGGCCAGGAACATGTCACTGATGTCATGTCCATTAAACCGTACTACAATAGCAAACCATTCATATTGTCGCCAAAGTGAATCTTTGGTGCCAGATCACCACGTTTGGTGGGCAAAAGTTCGGTTTTTTTCGGTTTCCTTAGGCAGATCGTGCAGACCAGCCCCAACCTCTCCATCCTCCAGACCGCCTTGCGGCTCACAGACATGGAGTGGATCTTCGCCAGCTCGGGCCCTGGAGAACCTGTGTCTCAGCCATCGGCTTGGTCACCTTAGGCCCTAGGATTCAACCGATTCCCATGAAAAAAAAGCCCAAGAAAACCCCATTTGCATGACAAGCCTTAGGTAAACAATGGGTGGTTATGTGAACCCCAAGTGTTTTGATGGTGAATTGAGCCGCAGGGGTATAGTAGGTAGGGTATTGTCCTTTGGGATTTGATCGGATGGTTTCCTTGGTTTCCTACCATATTTTGTTTGTTTTATTGTTTTCTTTACTTACTAAATATGTATATATATATATATAGAGGTAAAAGGAGTCACTGGGCGATTGTTCGCGCCGTGCACATAGGCGACCGTTTGTGTTCGGGCAGGCCTGCAGATAGAGTTCCTGCTAACTAACTAAACATGCAGTACTGGAACTCACCAATGTGGTTGACACGCACCAAAAGGGCAAGCAGTCGCCTATGCGAACGGCACCGTTTCGTTTGGAAAGCTGCCCCTTTAAAATCAACCAACCAGAAACAGTGGTCACAATCGATTATCCATCTCTATGCTCATACATTGGCACAGAGTCTCATCAACCAACCAACCACGAGTGGCCCTTTCTCCATGGCCTTTTGAATCACCTTGGCATCCAATGATTTGGGGTGTGGTTCTGACCTCGGTTCCAATGAGAAGAAAACCCTTGGAACCAAATGGCCGTGTCTTTTTGGTGAGACTCGGTACCCTTTTTGCTTGGCAACTTGGCCATTTTGAGGGTCCAACTCGAAAAAAAAACCGTACGAACTACTGGTAGCTGGCCCTCCCACTCACAAATGGAACCAAGTCTTCCGAAGAATCTGGGAAGCGCTTCCATGGAATCGCCGCTCGGGAGGGTCCAAGGAAGCCGCGCGAAGCCGTCGCGCCGCGTCGCCGTGAGGCGCCACGAAGCAGACGCTGCTGGCGCCCACGGACGAGGCCTTCCGGGCGCTGGGCCCGGGGGTCGCCAGCAGCCTGCTGCCCCTCGGCCGGGGCCAGCGGCGGTTTGGCGGTGCGCAGCGGCCATTTTGCCTGGGGTTTCTAGGTGCCCCAGCAATTGGTGCCCTTTCTCTACCCCTTTTTTGGTTGGGAGGGAAAGCCCCCACTAAAATAGGCTACAGAAAAAAGTTGGTACCCTTATTCTAACCTCTCTACTAGAGGACCTAGGTTTGTTCTCCCTTGGTTTTGCTTGGGGTATAGTAAAGCCTGTAAAACCCTTTGTAGGGCCTTTGTTTGTCACCCCCTGAGTGTGCAAGCTAGTTAGCAGGTTATCACAGGGCTCCTTAAAAGATACATTTTGCAACCATTTGAAACATGGTTTTTTCCACCAAAATGAAAGGAAACCACCATTTAGAAGGCAATGTTCAGGTGTATACTGCAAGGATCCCTGTTATCACCATAGTTACAAGGGCACCAGCCCCTGTTGCAGCGACTCACTCCCTGATCTCACTCCAAAGGTTGCAACTTCTTAAGGGAACCATGGGTCGACACGGGCGAAAACGTTCCAGAGATGTGTAGACAGGTCCATTGAACGGATACTTGCTGCCTGAGTCCCTGAACGGGTGCTGGAGGACAATTTTACTTTTTCTGGCCAATCAGCTCAGGAAGTGCGTTTTGGGGAGGGGAATCCCCTTGAAAACCCACCACCCTTGCGGGAACCCACCAGAGATGGGCCAAACAAGTGAAGTTTACGACCAAACATGGACCCTGCCAACACCAACAGTAAAGACCAAACAACCAAAACACCTGGCTCCCCACAACCAAGAACAACTCCAACCCCAAGAGTGAACACTACAGGCACCCTGTGCTATCATAGGGTAAGGCCTTTGTGTTCGGCCTCATGTGAGCGGCGGCTTTTTACCCGCAAGCTAATTTAGTGGGGAGAGGGACATTATTATTGAAAATGTGCGCCGCGCCACACGCGCGGAAGCATGCGGAAGGCTCGTGGAAGAAATTTGTTCGCGGAAGGTTTGCGGAAGCTTGGTGGCTGATATACAACTAAATGTTTCAGTGCGTGCATGGAAAAGCTCGGAGAAACAATTCCAGTAGAAGAAAAGGTGTTGCTGCGTACAAGAAACGTAACGCTTACTCGAAGAGCAGATGCCAACAGCAGCCAAGAAGGCCAAAACAGCCGGCGTACTTCGCGGAAGGTTGGAAGCTCCGCGGAAGGGTGGCCCCGTGTTTGCAGGCAAGCGGCCAAGTAGCATGGGTAGCCCAATGGAGCCCAAGCCTACACAAGCTGCGGCGGAACACTACCTCACTTAAAATGACTTTCCTTTCTGCGCCAATGCTCGCGGAAGCCAAAACTTGTAAACCATGCCCCGCGGAAGGTTTGCGGAAGCAAACAATGAAACACATGTGCCGCGGAAGCTCGCGGAAGGGACCTTTTGGCCCGCGGCAAGGATGCCGAAGGGTCCGCGGAAGCTTGAATAATGTCCAAGCAAGTTTGTAGGGAATAAAAACCAACGCTCATGTGTAAGAGGGAACAGGGGCATTGGGATCCTATGATAGACGACATTTACTGAAATGACTATTTGTTTATGTCCCCTTGGTTTTAAAGGGAATTGATCACTACTGGAATATGTTTTTCACAGGGGCTGAAGCAATTGAAAGACGGACAAAGTCCAAACCTGGTCCTTTGCAATTGACTGATCATGCGCGAGCCACGGCTAATTACTTTGTTTGTGTTGTGCCCATTTGCGTTTGAAAACGCAAGCACTATTGTTTTTCCAGCTCCTTGTGATGATAACTAGCTGGTGGTTGGAAGGGGACCGTTTCTGAGCTGGGACCCTGTATCCAAATGCGCTTTTAAACAGGGAGCCTGAAGGGAGCTACCAGTAGCTCTGGTACCCTCCCACCAATTCACATGGAACCTGACAGGGGGTCCCGTTAAAAAGGAGAAGGGTCCAAACCAGGACCCCCCGAACATCAGGTTCCATGTTTTGAACGGTGGGAGGGTAAGTTGACGAAAAAAAATATGTCTTCCCTTCGGAAAGGTGTCGGGACGATGCCGTTCAACTTGTTGAGAGGCCTATCCTGTCAGAACAAACCCTTGAGCTTTGTTTTGCTTGTTGGGTTGCTTTGTCAGGAATTGAAACTAGACGAGTCACATGTTCAAAGAGGGCAAGATATGTCCCTGCCAGAGTGTGTGGCTCAGGGCGAGGTAGGGTGGGAGCGCCAGACGTTTTTGTTTTTTCACTCTTGCTGACAGTTCCTGATCCAGGTTCAACCCAACGAACCCCCGGCTGGCGTGGAAAATCCTCAAGGATTGTAAGAAGGCATCGCCACTCGTGGCGCCTGCGCCCTCCTCCTGCAAGTACGACAAGTACCAGTAGACGAGAAAGCCTCAGCCCATTGCCCGCTTGCGCTGCCCTTTTCTGTGCTTCCTTGAAAAGGCGCAAATAAGTCGATTGTTTTTGTAGGCTTGATTGCTTTGTGCAACCACATCCCTTACGTCTGAGGACGGAAAAGGCAGCGTGCAGTTCGGTGTCTGCTCATGATGCTCATGGCTGATCATGTACCGTTGGCTCTCTAGGGTTTGGCTTAAAGGATGGTTCGGTCCTTCGGATGTCTTCGGGCGGTTTTTGGGCGTGAGCCGATTGCCAAGGCTCATGTCGAACTTGGAGGATTTGGCCGCAGCCTCGGTGGGCGGAGTGGCCTCACTTCCTGAGTTGGGCGTTAAGCCCTCCCACCAACGAACATGGAATTGCACGGATTTCTTTGGAAGGATCACTTTCCTCTTGGAAAGGGGTTTGTGCACTTCCATGTTGGTGGGAGGGTAATCTTTTTGGGAGCACCATAGTTTAGTGGTAAACCGCACGCCCATTTTTGGGCGTTTCTTTTGGCCAATCCCCTCCGGACCCCAAGCGATCGGGGAGGGCTCCGAGGTAACTCAGCAAGCCGAGCCTTTGACACGAAAAGGATGGCCATGCACTGAAGCTTATGTCCCACAGAAACTGGAGCTTGTACCTTTGTCTTCTTCAGCAAGTGCTGCAGTGTTTTCGGGACAACAAAGAAAAAGGAAATTGGACTCGGACTAAGAGGGCCTTCCCAAAGAAGGCGGATGGCTCCCAACGGGCGCCCCGGAATCATAAATCCGAATGCCTGGCTGAAATCAGATTTCAGCTGCGCCAAAGTTCAGAGAAGCACTCCGAGATCACTTCCTGATATGCTCAGGATTGCAGCTGTACGGCGGTTTTGCTCAAGATGTGCACAGCAGACGGAGGGTGTGGCGCTGCTTGTAAGCTCCTAAAAAGCGCCCTCAAGATGGGGACTACACACACTCAGAGTTCCTTTAGTTTGCGCTGTTCATAATCCTTAACCCAGCCCTTGCCTGTCTTATTGCAGGTTGGAAACGATCAACTCAGCCCAGCTACAGCTACCCTTCCAAAGGTAAAGGAGTGTTTCACATCTCCGCTGGCTGGGGCCTCGCCGATCATTATACGTGTCGAAAATATGGGCCGGAGCCAGAGTCTAAAGCCTTATCTAGATGAACATAATGATGTAGCTGGGGCCCTTTGGCATACGAGGATCCCATCCAAAACTGGGCTGTCCAGGCCAATCATTACCACTCCTTGCCTTGAGTGATGAAGAGGGGGGGAGGGGGCGGGGGTGTTGTGGTGATAGTGATTCCTAAAGGCATCTCCCAGGCTACAAGACACCCAAAGTATGAGCAGCCGTTTTGCTGTGAGATCCCTCTTGATGAAGGCAGTGATATTTTTGTTGGCGGAGAATACTTGCCTGAACTGGCAAACTGACAAACAACTGGCTCTTGGTTAGTTTTCTTCCAGATTCTCGTGTGCCAGAAGGTGGTTTTTACTTTCTGTGGCCAGACTCAGGTCATACTATGGATGGACGAAATCCTGCACAACCTAAAACACCCTGGAATGATTCGATGTCTCTGTAAATGTCAACAAATGCTCCCCATGATCTCAAAGTGGTGCAGGATTTTGTCCGTCCACAATAGGGCAACCCTCCGAATGGGTCCAACTTGCTGGTGCTAAGTTGGGGCCGGGGAAAACTTGAATTGGCCCATCTTTATTTGAAACATATCCTCACTGCCTGAGTTCATGAACTTTAAACTTTTTGGGAAGACCAATTTAGTGGTATATATAAAGTTTGGACTTCTTTTGGGCCATCCACTCAGCCAGTGAGAATCCCTTTATTCGGTTTAAGGCTTCCACTTGGTTAGGTCACAGCTTCCACAAAGACTTGTGGAGCCCTGGCTGGTTGCGAAGCGCAGGTGGCACTCCTGCGGCTCCACATGATCGAGTCCGTGCACAAGAGTGACGTGGGGAGCCCAGGGCCAGAGGGCCAGAGAGGGCCATAGAGGGCCAGGAATGAATGAAAAAGATGGGAGAGAATGGAAATGCTTTTAGACGGAACAAAGAGACGTGGGAAAGCAAGGACAAGTGAATGAACGGAGTGAATGGGAGGAGGGTATGTCTTTTGCAGAGTTGGTACCCCCCCCTCCTTTTTTGTGGTATGAAAGGGAGACCAACAACATCCACGCATTTTGGAGGACCCCCAGAAAAAGACCATGATGTGTGCCATGGTCAAAAGACCGGTTACTGTTCTTGGTGGCTCCCAGCCATCCCCTTGGCCTTTTGGCTTTTTAGTGTTTAGTGATAGTTTCCATTTAACCCACAAAAAGTTAAACTTTTATCGGGGGATGTGAGGGCAGCCCAGTGTTAACATGAATGGTCATCCACCTACTATCACTACGGATATTTAACCAATATAATGATTCCATATGATTCCTACTCAGGGAACCCTGACCCTAGGCCATATTAGGAGCTTTCACCATGGCTCATTCACTTAGCCGGGCCAAACTGCAAAATCGGCAATCAAAATCCAAAAAGCGGTGGCTGGGACCTGTGGTAATATGTTTTTTGATTATTTATCTGGTTGTAAAAGGTATTCTGGCACTTCTTCTTTTTTTGTTGGGGGGGGACGAAGACAGCCATTGTAGGGTGTAGCAGGAGCCATATGTTTTCCATGTCCTCGAAGGCACGCACTGGGTGGATGCCAACTAAATAGCCTCAAAAGAAATGTGGAACCTGAAAGAGGGCCCCTTTTGGGAGGAAAGTGGCACCCCTCATGTTAGCAATTCGGCACCCCGCATGAAGGATGCAGGCTGCATCGAAGGAGCATCCCGGTGCAAGAGGGCGCTTCCCGGCCCCTTACCCACAAGCAGGAGATGGTGCTACGCAGCAGCATCGTGACCAAGCAAGGGGAGGCGCGGAGGTGGTGGGGGGCTGCATCCTCCCTCCCTCCCTCCCTCCCTCCCTTCCCTCCCTCCCTCCCTCCCTCCCTCCCTCCCTGACTCCCCCGACTTCCCCCCCCCCCCCGACTGACTTGCCCCCCCCCCCAAATAGCCACTGGCGGTTTGAGGGCCGAAAAACCCCCATGGGCCGTGGGCCATCCGCGTGCCGCGTTGAGAGTCTTGAGAGGCGGTGGTCATCGATGCCCTGAGCCCCTTGAGCATCAACGGCGCCAGGTCTGCGGTGCAGGACAGCGAGCAAATGTGGTTGAGACAGCCAGGCTCCGGATGAATCTGGCACTCTTTAAAGTGAAATCTAAAGAAATTGCCGGAATCTCGCACCCTTTCAAGGGAAACAAATTGGGGTTTGTTTCCAATCATGTCATGAACTATGAGGATCATCAGCGACGTGGTGAGTACTTCTTCCATCACCATCCATGGGCTGGACTGCCCCGTGTTTTTTGGGGACACCTCAGACACCCACCCTTCGCCGCATTCGCCGCTTTGAATCGGAAGGACGTGCCGGCGACCAACGGCATTCTGCACATCATGGACTCCGTGGTGATGCCTAAGCTCTGGCGCTTCCCGGAGCGGAACCTCATGCAGTTCGCCAACAAGGCGCCCCCAATATGGGGCGGGGGGGGTTCGGTTCGGGCGGAGCGAGGTCGAGCGGTGGGTGGATGAACCAAATCCTGAACCCCGCTCCATCCCAAAGGCAAAGTGAAGCACCAAGGAGTGGAACGTTGAAAAGTGATGAAATAGTGTATAGCTGCGTAGTACTTCTCCTGCGTTAGGGTTTTTAATTTTAGAAAAGAGAAGTTAAGTGGTGAACGGAAAAAAAATGCACAGAATCCCAAAAGCCAAGACTCCCCCTCCCCCCCACTTTCAAGAGGGGGTGCCTTGATTTCACCGAACCCATGCACACCGGGCAGACTGTGAAGGGAGCAGAGGCTGGCACGCTTAAGGAGCCCATCTTGAAGGCCCGGGTTGAAAGGATCCGACCGTCCTCTCCTTCCCCGCCTTGTTCTGTTCCTGTTTTGGGGGAACAAGGGGGGGTGAGAAGACCCCAGTCCCTGCTGGATGAGCAAGAAGACCCCCATGCCCCTCAAAGCCCGATTCGGGAAAAGCACCCGGGTGTTCGGCAACCGTAAGCGGCATTTAAAGCTCACAAGTCCTTGCCTCAATGTGAAGCTAAAATGTCCAGAAACATCAGGTGGGACAAGGAACTCTTACCCAGCAAACCAGACAAAAAGGCCGCTTTTTTGGGCCAGAGTGTGACTGGTGCATCTCTTACAGAGGGATTCAACCAGAATGGGTTGCTGCAATACGTATTCAACCTGTTTCTGATAACGTTCATGTGCTGAAATGAATATGCCAAAAATACCGGAAGGGGATTCCCTTAAAGGATACCATACGGATCCATACGGAAAGTTTATAGAGGTCATTCCAACTCATTCCCTGCCTATCAAACCATACGAACCTCGGACAACCCCAGGACGGTCGATGAGAAGGTCCCTATTGGACGACCATTTGGTAGGGGCTCCTCATTGTCCCTTTTTGGACACAACAATTGGGCATTTTTGTTGGACCCCACACGAAAAAAAAGACTCCCGTCTTCTATTTTCTTTCTGTAAGGAAAGCCAACACTTGCTGGTGCTCAGCAGGGAATGAGGGAAAAACCCTACAAACCATCCCCGATCATTTCCTTTAAGGGCATCCCCAGGTTCATTTCCGGCCCATGCTATCATTCCCTACTGAGCGCCGGCAAGAAGAGGAAACGACTTCTTTTTTCTTGGGGCCACATTTTTTTTTTTGGGGGGGGGGGGGGTAAAAAAGACGACACCCAAACCACCTTTTGTTTGGGCCCCCCTCTCTTTTTCGGGTGGGTTGTTGAGGGAAGGGGCGGCGGGCGCTCGCTGGGATTCCAGGAGAGCGAGCTGTCGGACTTCGTGGGACTGGTGATGGCCGCCGGTCTGCTGGAGGAGTTCCAGGCCGGCAGTTTTGAGAGCGTCGCATAAGAGAAATCCAGCCGTCGGACCAGATCTCGGATTTTTGGACGCCCCAAACTGGTGTTGTTTCTTTTTGTTGGTTCCCCTGTTTACACCACCAAGAAAGGAAGAAAAGAAGAACGGTACCCTCAAAGAAAGGCACACCCATACGAAGCAACATCTGAAAGGCGTGTTTGTTGTGGGCCCCCCCCCAGATTTTCAGATTGATTCGCAGGGCACCGGGCCCTTCACGGCCCTGATCCCCAACAACTACGCCTTCTACGAGCTCGGAGCGCTGCTGGACGACCTGCGGGCGCCAAGCAGTGCCCAGAACCTCAAGGTGGGTTTGTCGAAAGAGCCGTTGCCTCAGTTGCCTCACTTGCAACCAAAGCGAATCCACCTTTTGACCTTTTGACCTTTGAAGTTTCTCGTTGGGTCCCAATCACATTTTATTTCCAAAAGGGTGCCCAATCTGAATTTCTGGTTTTCGAGCATCCACGCTGTTGGCAACCCTCCCTAAAATTGGAGGGTCTCTAAAGGTCCAAGGAGCTTCCATGTCAGTCTGAGGGTACCAGAGAATGTCCGTGCACTTTCTAATACCTTGTAATCACCTGCTCTAATTCGAACCAAACATCCCTCACTCCTGTGGGGGGTGGGGCTCTGTGTGGATAAGGCAGGTTCGGTCCTTAAGTGGGCCTACTCAATTGGTATTCGGCGGAATCAACCACGCGCACAGGAGGTGTTGCGGTATCACATCGTGAAGGGCAAGCACTTGAGCATGGACCTCACCAGCCCCCAGGAGATTGATTCCACGCGATGCGCAAGTGCGCAAACGCCGTAGTTTGGCTTTTGCCCGGGGCTGCCGAATCAATACTTACAGTTCAAAAGCTCTTGAAGTTTTAAATGTACGTACCTGCTTACCCATGTCCACGTACCTGTTGACTTGGTAAACGTTCAAGTCTTGTTGTGCGTACATCAGGGATCCCTCCATTTCCCTTGTTGCACCTCCAAGAGTGGCAGTGTCAACGGAAAACCACCAGTAAATTGCAACTTGTGCAGGGGACATCCACTGACCCCTGTTCATTCTATGTCGTTGGTCAAGGCCGAAAAGGGTTTGAACTTTTTGCTGTCCGCTCGAGCAGGTCAGGTTTCTTGCTCTTCTCGAAAGTACTGTGGGAATGCCCCTTTACCCACCATGGGCGTTTCTTGTTGTGAATGGTTGTGCATAGTGTATTCCCATCTTCCCTGCTGGAAATGTTTCACGATGCATAGGCGTTGCTTGTTGTGCATGTTTATTCCCATCTTCACTGCTATATTATACAAGAAGGAGATGTTTCACGATGAAAGAAAGCAATGTAATGGAGGTGCACAGGACCACAGTGGTTTGGCCACAGCCCAAGCAGCGACTGGGGGTCATGGTCACGATACCATTGCCATGCCAAGCTGTCAACTGCGGAGGCACCGAGACCAGACCCCAAAGCAGATGTAATTCTAGTACTTCCTCCATTCTAGGGATGCTTCTTTTCGGAGAATTGCCAAGGGCCAGGAATATCAGTGGTTTCCCAAAAGATGATGGACACGTTAACTTTTTTGAAATTAGTTCGGAGGTTCACAGGCTCATGTGCCCTAACCTCCGTTTTTTCGCCTGTTAGTTTTTCAACTTGTTCTCTAGGTTTCGTCAAGGCCCCCAAAGGTTCAAGCTAGCGGCAAGTGACCAGAAGAAACCATCCCTTGGGTGGGCAGCAGTTTTGACGGCATGCACATGTTCAGCCCAGAAACCGGCCGAAACTGAAACTCCGGGTGGCCTGGAGCAGGTGCGAATACTTCGGGCCTCAGCTTAGATCACATGGCCGACGTGTTTAGCATCCCACCCTGCCTCCCACGCATGTGTGGGAGAATACCTGAAAGATTAAGCTTCCTCTTCAACGCACCCTTTGTCTTCACCTGATGGAAGACAACAGCTGGAGCCAATTGCCATCCCGCGACCACCTTGGCAACAGGCCCATCTCCATCAGGTGCCGTGTCAATGGGAGGGGGGTAGATCCCGTCTATGGCAACGCGTTTATGGTCACCCAACTTTTGCGCAGTGCTCGACTGCTATTGGGTTGGATCTTTAGACTTTAACTTTTTGGGAAATAAAGGTGTTTTCCACTAAACCCCCCGAAAAGTTAAACTTTTTGCAGGGGGGCCAACAGCAACCAAGAGTGGCCTCAATTGATTTTGACCATCAGGGTTGCTCCTTGCCTCAAAACTTTGAGCACATCACGTTTGGGTAGAACCGACGGGGGTTGTTTTCCCTTGGCGCACCAACTGTCTTCCCTAGTGATACGATGAAACGGTGGTTGGGCTCCGTTCAGACATCCCATGATTCAATTCCCCAACGTAAAAAAAGAGAAAAGAAAAGAAGAAACACACCAAACGTTATGGTTTCATTCCCATGTTTTCATTTCGTGGTGGCGAAGCCATTCCACAACGGCACCCAAACCACACCAAGCCAAACACCCCCAGCAACCAACCAACCCAGCCCAACAGCCCAGCCAACCCAGCCCAACAGCCAAGCCCAGCCGCGTTCCCGCTTTCATTGCCAGGACCTGGTCACCCTGCAGGGCGCGTCGGTCCAGGCGGTGCCCTGGACGAATCTGGGCTGGAACGGCATCGCCTACGACTCCGCCTCCCCGCCAGTGGTGCGCCTTGGAAGGAGTAAACCTCGAGCTGTAGGAGTTTCCCCTTGGTGTTGAAGGGAATCTATCACTTCCGGACATACTCTTGACTGCTATCGGGTTGGATCTTTAGACTTTAACTTTTTGGGCAATAATGGTGTTTTCCACTAAACCCCCAAAAGGTTAAACTTTTTGCAGGGGGACTGTGGATGAACGAAATCCTGCACCACCTAAGAAACCCTGAAATGTTGATTCTCCCGCAAATACCAACAAACGGTACTGTGTCAATCATGGTTGCTTAGGTGGTGCCTAAGAGAATTTCGTCCATCCACAGTATGTTTTCATGTTTTGGCAGGGACCTTAAGCAAATAGAAGAGATCTCAATCTCGCCTTGTTTCTCACTCCTTGAATTCAGTTTCGGAGCTGAAGGTCACCTCTTGAGTTTAGTTGCCATTTGTTTGCGGCAGCTCACTTGTTGCGTTCACGGACTTCATACTCATTTTGGTGGCATACAAACATGTTTAGACTTTTTCTGGTTTGGTTACCTGGCCATACTTTGTTGGGAATACCATTGTAGTGGCATACGAACATATTTGGTCTTTTTCTGGTTTGGTTACTTGGCCATGCTTTGTTGGGAATACAATTTTAGTGGCATACAACAATGTTTGGGATTTTTTCTGGCCCGTCTACTCTGGAAGTGAGGCAAAGAAACAGTTTGGTTACTTGGCCAGTCCACATGGCGATCGCCTTAGAAGTGGTTGGTGGACACGAGTCTTCGTCTGAATAATGTCTGCCAAAGGGCCCCAGATTGAGATTCATGATGTTTCAGGGTAGGCTACAACTGAGCAGAATCGTTTTTTCTTGTATGGCAAATCCTCCATTGGGCCCTTGTCCCTAGAAATGCACCAAGAAGTCTAAGAACTCCTTCCAAGGTTCTCAAAATTCCGGGCTGGGGTTTTGAAGGCACTTGGGTTCAGTTCTTGAGCCAGCCAAGGGGTTGGGAGAGGCCTCCTGAGAGGACATCAAACCTCAAGCAGCAACATGCTGTAGCGGCATCTCCCTTTTGGATATCCGCATGTTTCTTTCCCGGCTGTTTTTTTTTTTTTTTCTTTCGGGGGGAGTGACTGTTCACCTTTCACACTCAGACGTTTTTGCAAGTGAACTGCGACCGGGAAGAGGTTTGGCTGTTTTACTGTATTTGGAGAAGCCTGGATGTCGGCCATGTTCAAGAAGTTTTCGCCCTGGTCCAGTGTGGGGTAACACTTGGTGCTGGTTCATGGGAGGGTGGAGGTTAGAGATCCTAGGTTTGGGGGGGGGAGCACTTAATGAGAACTCAAGATAAATACACCCCTGGTTAGGCAATGGGATGTCTCCCAATTGCGACTTGAAGCAATCCCACTGAAACGCATTTGGGGGAGCGGTTGCGCTCAGTCGTTGGCATACCCCAGCCTGCAAAGGCATGCTACCATTCACAGGATCCAAGCCCCGTAAACCCCCTAAGCCCCCTCCCTGTTTTTCGAAAAAAAGACCCTAGCGTGCGGCTTGGGGAAACCAGACAAAGTTTGGGGGAGGGTGGGCGTGCGACCCAGGATCAACTCCATAGCACAAGTCACGAAGCCGGACGTGTCCGCTACCAACGGCATCGTCCATGTCATCGATAGAGTGCTCCTTGAATCGCCAAAACATGCCGTCCAGCGCCTGCGAAATGTGCTTACCCAGGTCCGATGGATGGAATGTGGGGCCTCAAACTATATGTTTAGTCTTTCCAAATCCCTTTTTAAGCACCTGGTCACGATCCATTTTTCTGAAGAAAAGCCCACCCGTGTCGCACTTGTTTGAAAACTACGGGTCACCAAGATCAGGTCAGAGGTACCGTGGACAGAATCCTGCAGTTGGGATGAATGAAACCTTACGCATTGTCGGTACGTTACCTCACAGGAAGTTCTCTTGAGAAGGCCACTTTTTTGGGGATCCCGTTTCTTATGTGGGTGTTCCCTGAAGTGTGACTTCGACTGGTGAAACGGACAGTTTAGGAGTAGGCCAAGGATTCGCCCTCCGAAAAAGATTTGTCAGCGAGAAAGCCGTTGTTGGCTCGCAGCGAGCCGGGTGTGTCTTTTTTCTAGGGGTCCCCGAAAAGTTGTGTTTTGTTCCCTTTGCGTTTCTCTTGACCACCGGAAACTGGAACCCTGAAACAAAGGAGATCGACACTCAAACCTGGTTTTTTGGATGTTTCTTCGCCCGCTGAGGCTATTCCCACCTGGCCTGGACCAAGTCTACACCACCACCCAAGCGAAGATTCCCATCATCTCCAGCGGCGCGACGCGATCGGCGCTGACCTTGGGGCTGATGGGATTGACGGCGCTTTAGGAGGATTCGCGGGTTCTCCAGATGGGCCGCGGGTCCCGATGGCGTCCTTATGTTCGCTTTGTTTTTTGGGAAAGCTGTCCCTGTTACAACCAACCAACCCAAAACATGTGTGTGTGTGTGGGTTTTTGGTTGGGGAAAGTGGAGTCCCCGTTAAGGGTAACCAACCCAACAAGAATGTGCCCTGTTGCCTTGTGGTCACTGGGCTTCTGAGCGGGGTGTTAAAAGCGCCCAGCCACTTCTCTTGGCTGTTAATGCCTCTGCCAGTGCGGGCTGCGCATACTTGTCGCGGGAACGAATTCCGGTTGATGTTAACCCCAGGTGGGGGAGGAAACAACAACAAACAATATACCCTCTCTCCCACTAAACAAAGAAAGCAAAAACAAAACAAAAACTCTCCCACTAACATGGCACCTGACAGTGGTCCTTTGAGAGGAAACTGATCTTCCAGGTACCCTCCCACAGGTGCTATGTTAGTGAATCGGAGGGTACTGATATATGCGGGGGTGTCCTTGGGGTTCAGTTGAAAGTGAACGACCTGAAGTGACATTTTGTTGTCCAATGTCGAGTTCCCATATTTAGTTTACGTCCCAAAAGGTGATACCACGACGTCCCCTTTGGGGGCTGACTTAATTCACGGGTGGTTGGAAGGAGGCCGGACTCGGGGCTAGCACCCAGATTCCAGCTTTTCAGGAGGGAGCTGGGTTCTGGTTGGGGATGATCCTGGATTCCCATTATGTTTCCCAACGCTTAACTGGTGAAAAATGAGCGGATGGCGTAGGGTTGCGCTCATCAAGTTGCATTCGCCGCCGAAGTTTTGTTCGGTGTGTCTTGTTTCGAGTTGGTACCCCCTTTTTTGGGTTCAGTTTCAAAGGAATGCCAAAAGGAAGACTGGCATTCCCCTGAATGCAACGGAAGTTTTTTGGGTGTGTCTTGTTGGTGCCTTTTTTGGCTGTGGTTTTAAAGGAAAGCCAAAGCTCTTTTTTTAACAAAGGAAGACTGGCATTTTGCGGCCCCCCCCCTAAAAACATACACTCCCCAGTCAAATGTCACGAGCCTTCAGCGTGTCAGCTCCCGCACACGGCAGTGCCGAACTGCCGAGAACTCCTTGCCCGGCAAAGCTGGCGCTAGGAGCTCGCGGAGGAATTTGTAAGCGGCGGAAACGGTTCGTTGCAACCCCCGGAGGGAGGGGGTTGGGGGAACCCTTTTACCCTTTTTGGGGGGGAGGGTTCCCCTAGTAAAATAGGCTACAGAAAAAAAATGGTACCCTTATTCTAACCTCTCTACTGGAGGACCTAGGATGACAATTCTGGCTCAATCCTTGGTGACGAGCATGGCCCTCAGAGAATGCGGTACACAAATCCGAAGAATGCATTGGTACCAACGTTTGGTTTGCCCTTTTTACTCAGTTTATGATAGTCTTGGCAACGTGTGCCAAAAGGAAGCAACCATTTGGAGACGCGCCTTAAACTATGCACAGTGTAAGATTACTCGAGTGTGCAAGCCTTCAAGCGCCAAAAAGGTGCATGTGCCGCAAACGCGGCACGCAAAGACGGCAGCGGAAGGTAAAAGCTTTGGCCGTGAGCTTGCTTTGGCCTGTCTTGTAGCAGTTGGCTCGCGTGGGCCATTCTTTCTCAAAGCAAAAAGTGAGATGCGCCAATGAATGGTTCATTTCCCCAAGAAAAGCCACAATGGGTAATAACAAGTTCTTCCATCCGATCGGTTAGAGTCGCCCACGTCACGACTTGCGGCTTGCTCCGAGCCTCCACCACTTTGGCAGCCGGGAAGGTTTCGGCGGTTCTCCCACAAGGATTGTTTGCATGTGAAACCTTAGTTCACCTCCCACCAATTAGCGTGGAACCTGACAAGGAGGTGCTGGAAGACCGTTCTTTCACAGGGAATACCGAACATCAGGTTCCATGTGGGTCGTTTGGGTTGGTGGTTTTGGGGAGTTGCATCCCTGGTAGAGGATCAACGGGAAGCCACCCTTAGCCACCAAACCACAAATCCACCAAACCACGAGGGAAGCCGATGAGTTGTCCGAAATCTCGTCCTTTTGGACCAACCCATGGACCGGTCCATCTGGCTGTTCCTGGCCCCGAAACCTTATTTTCTAGGTCCCTAAGGGCAACTGAGAACCTATGGAGCTCCCCCTGGACCGGAATTGAGACAACAACACTTCAACCCCTGTGTTGTCAAATCAGGCCCAACGCAGGCTCCCTTGAATTCACGGGTTGCTGAATAACAGCGAGAACGTCTTTTGGGCTCCCATCGCCCCTAGCCCCGATGCGCTCACATGCTCGCTTGCTCAGTGGGTTGTCTGCTTGCTTCCTTGGTGCGGCTTATGCTTAGGTTTTGGCTCATCATCCATTCGCTTAAGAACATGTGTTATTTTCCCTTGCTGGTTTTAAAGGGGATCTATCACTACTGGAATATTTTCTTTTTCCTAGGGGGCTTAAGCAAATGGAGGTCATTGGTGGTTCGGTCAGTTGGTGGTTTTTGGCCAGTGGGCCCTTTCCATTTGGCCAGGGATGGGCATTCTACCTGCCCTTCATCCCATGGGGCCCGGGCCTTCAGCCTTCGGTCGGTATCGCCGAGGTCGGTCGGAGTTGGTCCCTCCTTATGACTGTGGTGGAAGGCTCAGCTTTCTTTTTGTCTTCGGTCCCAAATTCATGATACAGTTTGTAGGCTATGGAAGAGAGGCAGAAACTCGGAGTGGGTGTGTATCAACTCGATGTGGGAGAAGTTTTGGAGAGATGACTTCGCAGGAATCAATCTGCCCATATGTTCGCTTCCCAGTGCAACCCGCTTTGTTTGGTCTTGCCCTCTTCCACCAACTGGCGAGGTGAGCAAATGAGACATTTAAATGCGAGCCATGCGGTCCTCTCACATCGGGCAAACGTGTATAGCCAAAACGACTGCCTCCATAGCCAAAACTTGTAGTGTTGACCCTGAATTCGTAAAGGTGTGGCTCAAATTGAAGAGCCGGGCTTACGCAGATTTGAGTCTTTGGTTCCATATGCCAAGGGTGCCATGTTGGACCTCCATTTCTGAGCCACAGCCATAAACCTGCAGGAAGAAGAAAACAGAGGACCCCTGATTTGACCCCCATCCAAGCATCAGCCACACAAGTCATGAAAAGTCATAGGAAGATGCCCTCTCCCCGTTGGTGTTCATCGGGACCCATTGGAAGCTTTTGCCCGTTTTGGGTTGCCATTCCCCTGTTCGCCAACAAGTGTACTTGCAGAAGGTCCAATGGGCAGCCGAGTTTCAGATCCGAAGAATTGGAATTGCGCATCCCCAAGTTGGCAGTCCAAGTTGGAAATGTTTGATTCCAGGCGTTGACCTTCTAAAAGTCCTAGTTTGCAACACAGGTCTCACTCACATGCAAGTTATTGTACAGACCTCTGCGGTTTGAACATATCTTTATGGGTTCAAGGGCGCAACCCTGGCTTCAACCATTTGTTTGGCAAGGTATGCCGTATTTTGCTTGTCTGGTCTTACGACCCCTCGAGATCGATCGACGGGATTCGGACGAGATCGCCCGGATCAAACGCCGCGAGGCATTGTGGATGCCGTCGCGGGCACAAACTACACGGCGGACATGTGAGCACCGCCGGCGCGCCGGCGCCAGCGGAGGAGTCGGCAGCGAGTTCTGCGCTTCTCAGTCCCAGCGCTGGTGTCGGGCCGGAAGAGACTGCGCGGCCAGAGTGCGCGGAGAAAGGGCGCTCAGTGATGTGCTGCTTGTGGGCCCATTGGAGCATTTGGACAGGGCTTCAATCGGGGTTCCTTCATGTTTTTTTTTTTTGGGAACCACCAAAAGGGGCGATCGGTTCAATGGACACCACCAAATTGATCAGCTGGTGAAGGGGAAATCAAAAGATGACCCAATGGATATAAGCTTGGTTTGGTTTGCTCCCTTCAATGCCAATGTTCTACCCCTGTGCCAATGGGGTTAACGGGGAGCAACTATGTCAAGCTTGCTGCCAGAGTCGGCCAAATAAGACCTTCAATGAGGCCGTATTAGGGTCTCACTTGGGGGGAATCCGTGATAAGGCTTGCAGTGCCCAGTTTGTTCTATCTCCGATCGCCTCAAGTTGGTCGTTTGCATTTCCCTTTTGGCTTAAGGGGAACAGGCCATGACCGGTAAACCGAACCCAGGTTCCCATACTTAGGCCAAGCGGGTGCCGGGTGACGACAATACTGGCGTATCATCGCCAGCTCAGCCCGAGTTTCCGGGGCTTGCGAACCTGCCGGGCAGCCACTAAAACCTCCGAACCGAGGAACAGGTGTGCCTTGCAGCGTGTTTGGACGCCTCAAGATATTTGGCCTTCTGTTGCCTTCCCTTTATCCAAGGGAAGCTGTTGTTTTCCCACCAACGAACATGGAAGTTCGATCCTTCCAGATTCCTCTTTTCGGGCGCCTTTCGCTCGAACAATACGGGGCCTGTGCACCAAACCATGTTTTCAAGGGAATTTCGAGGTATGTAGAAGTGGTTGTTTCACCTCCATGCCTCCTGAGGTTGCCACCTTGGGTGGGTTTCAAAGGGAAACCAACAGGAATTCCGTTTCGCCCTTTTGGTGGGTCCAACTCCAAAAATCGACGCACCGGAGCCTTGGCTCCAGCATCTGGGCCGAGCCTCCCGCGGGCGGAAGCCGGACTCCGGCTTCCGCCCGGAACGAAGTGGGCTTGGAGCCCAGTGCCCGAAGCCGCTTGCCGTCCCGGCGGGTTCTCGGAGGATGCCCTGAAACCAGCTCGGTTTCATTTCACCGCTGTTGGATCATGTTTTTAGGCTTTGGGATTCTTGGGCAGGAGTCCATTTGTTGTAGGGGGATGCAAAGCACCAGGTGGTTTTGCGACGATACCAAGGGTTGGGAAGTTAAGAAGAAACCGACCGGGCAGTCCCGAAATCCACGTTGCGGGTCCCATTTAATCGTCAACATCGCTTGAGGCTTCAAACTTGAAGACCCGGGCGATGAAGAATTGGGGTTTTCTAGGGTATTCTCCCAACAAAGTGAAGGTTGCCCCTGTAAAATGGGAGACACCACCTACTACTCAACTAGGCGGACGAATCAACTCGGTTTGCATTAGTTTTTACAGTGGTTGATTGCTTTGGTGTGGCAATGACGTTGGGGAAGGCCATCCACGTGTTTTGTCCCAATGTAAACATGCCTCATGTAGGTTGGAACAGGGAAAAACAGGTGCCAACGATGCAAGCACTCTTGGCCAACGATGCAAGCACTCTTGACCAGACTCCGGCGCAAGCCGAGCACAAGGCAATCCGCGGAAGACTAAAGAAACCTCAAGTTTTGGGGACACAAGGGGCTTTGCCATGTGAGCCGCAGGCGCGAGTGGCAATGGCGTCACCTAGGCCTCTGAACAACACAAGCCATACCTGGCCAAAACGGTTTCCAAGTTCTAAGGCCTCCCGCCCTCCTCCTTCCCCCCACCCGTGGTCATATTGGTCATGGCTAAAGCGAACCTGCCGAGAACAGAACTTCTGGGCCTACGGCCACCAAAGGGAGGGTAGTTTGTACATCCCGTTGAGTGGGGCATGGGTGGCATCGCCTTTCCAGTTGGGTGGTTTGCGAGCTTGGGGACTTCTTGTCGAAACCAGGTGGGAAGCTATGACCTCCAAACCAAGTGTGAAGCCTTACCCCATGTAAAGGGAATTGTTTAAACAAAGGGCCAATTTTCGGTTTTTCCCCAGACCCCAACTTAGCACCCAGCAAATTGGACCCATTCGGAGGGTTGCGCTACAGTGGATGGACGAAACTGCACCACTTTAAAACGTGGGAAACCGTTGTTCGTGGTTACAGAGAATCATCATTCCAGCGTTTTGTCCATCCACAGCATTGAGAGGTCGGCGCCATGCAGTTTGCAGGCCTTTGAGATGCGCCTGCTGCATCTTCTGCTGGCGGTATATGTGACGAGCGCCAAAGAAGTCCCGACAGCCCCTTGGTCTTAGGCTGGGTCCGTGCGCAGGTCCTTTTATGGATGGGTAAAGCATCTCCTGAGGTCTTATAATTCCTCCTGTTGTTTTTAGGAATCCTCAGTTTTTGCGGGGTTGGGCAATGACCAGATCTTGTTTGTTCCCGGCGGGTCCCCACAAAAAATCGTAGTAAAACAATCCTGGTAAGAGCATATAAATAGAACCGACCCCCCAAACCCCCAAACCCCCAAACCCCCTAACCCCCTAACCCCCTAACCCCCTAACCCCCTAACCCCCTAACCCCCTAACCCCCTAACCCCCTAACCCATAGCCCCCTAACCCCCTAACCCCCTAACTCCCTAACCCCCTAACCCCCTAATCCAACCCCCCAAACCCCTAACCCTCTAACCCCCTAAGCCCCTAACCCCCTAACCCCCTCTAGCCCCCTAACCCCCTAACAAGAGCAGTGTATAAATGGAAACGACCCACCAACCCCCTAACCTGCTAACCCCTAATCCCCCTAACCCCCTAACATGGGCAACCCGAAGAAATCTCTTCTTCCAACTGGACGTGGGTCAAAAATAGGCACCCGAAATGGAACCTGGTAAACGGACACCTGGACTAACACCTGCTGTTTTGTAGTGGCTAAAATTTGACCCATATCCAACTGAGCACCTGGCTGGGCCGAGGTCAAGGTGCACCTCCTCTCGCCGGACGTGTCTCAGCGCCTGCTGCGCGGCAGCCAGGATCCCCGGATCCCCAGTCCGAGGGGATCGAACCCACTGGGAGCGAGAAGTCGTCCTGGAAAGACCCACCGGTGATCCGTGTTTAGTCAAACTCAGTTGTCCAAAGCCGACCTTTTGACCTTTTGGTTTTCCCATTTTTGTCCATTTTTAGTAGAGGTGCCAAAAGGTTAACCTTTTAGTTCTGGGTCCTTTGGGCAAGTGAGCAAACCCACCACGGGTTTCACGGGCACCCCAACCTAAACCGGGGGCTGGGGGGTGCTTGGGCTCAACGAGTGGTTGGCGGAAGCCTGGTTTAAGCATTCCCGTGGCTCTTTGGCTCACTTGCCGAGAAGGCGAATCGAACGGATCTGACCTTTCGGTGATCCGTGTTTAGTCAAGGTCCCAACAGGTGATCGCGCTTTATTCCTTTGCACCTGAGTAAACCTTTCGGAAGATGACGGTGGCTTCTTCAGGTTGAAAGTTTCACTGGCGGCTGGTCAAAGTCCAACCCAGTTACTGAATGTGGGTATGTCCCCAAATCGGGGTTGGGGGGGTGGGCGTAAGGGAACACCCAAACATAGGTGTCGTTTTTGGTCGTTTTGGTCGAAAAATAAGTGGCCCAGGTTTACCTGGTCATTTAATCATCTACCATGGCCATCTATTTCCCCTAAAAGGACACTAATATGCACTCAAAAGGGAAGCCAATCATTGGCGTGCTTGCCCAACCATTGGCGAGGTGCTGAAACCGTGCGAGCGCTGAAGGCGCCGGTGCCTCAGTGCCTCAGCGAGGGGCCGCGTCTGAGTACTGACAGCGGCGTGTCCGAGTCTCACCTAAGAGCATGGAAGGGGGGGAGTCCCAATCAAGAACCATTTGCTTAAGAATATGGTTTAGTTCCCCTGTCAGTTTAAAGGGAATCTATCACAAAGCTGCTGAGCTGGTAGAGAGCTCAAGTAGCGATGCAAGCGCGGCCTCAAATTGAGTCATACCCGGTTTCACTGCTTTGGGCATGTGTGTTTTGCTCTGCAAAGTACACAACGTTTCGCTAATTGTATCAGTGAGAGGATGATAGTCCAATTCGCGGTCCTTTCAGGCTCGTTGGTGCTCAGATTTGTGTCTCAGATAATCTCAGATAAAGCAGGGCACCACCCAGTTTCTCATGGAGAAGTAAATGATGCCCACCAAAGGGTCCCGAATTAAAGTCATTCCCATTTCTTGGAGCGGGCTTGGACTGCCGCTTGAGCAACCGGATCGGGCTTCTGTTTAGGGTGGTCTATGGATTTCGGCATGTTCCAGCCAACTCGCCAACTCCTTTTCTTTGCAACTCGCCCGCTCAGCCACTTGCAAAGCAAAGAAGGGACTTGCCTTTGGGCCCAACACCCCCCCCAAGTTCTGGGATGCACTTTGGTGCAAGCTGCCCCCGTTTTCGTGGAAACCGCTTCCACGGATTCCCAGGGTCACCGGTTGCAACTGGGAACTCCCGCCTCGCCTTCAGATCAGGCTGCACGCAGCAACTTCAGAGGCGGAGGGCCATTCAGAGGAGCACCCGGAGCACCAGGCCCCTGTGCTTGCATTTGCCTACTGAGTTCCGTTTCGGACTTGTGTCACCTCACTGCCTGAGTTCATGAACTTGACACTTTTTGCGAAGACCATTTTAGTGGTAAATATAAAGTTTGGACTTTTTGGGGCCATCCACTCAGCAAGTGAGTCACTTTGCGGGTTTGGACCATTTCAGTGGTAAATAAGGAGTGTGGCTACTTTTCTGACTAATCCGCTCAGGAAGTGAGTTTGATTTGTGGCCAGGGTGAGGAACAATATGTTGAAACGACCAGACACGTTTCGGCCCCCTTAGAGAAACCAACAGAGGGTGGTCGAAACAATGGTGGTCTGGTTTAAGCGAGGGATTGGCCCAAACCCACCTTTTGAGCTCGTGAGAGTTCCATTTGTTGCTTTGCGGGTTCGGCATTGAAAGTAGTAAAAGTCATGAGTCATGCCATTTTCTACCCGCAAAACTAGACAACTTGTTTAAACCTCCACATCACACCGGAAAGAGGTCAGCTACATGAACGCTGAAATGCCCATGATTTGACTATGGTTTGTCAAGAAGTGCAGCTGTGGTGGGGAGGCAAGTGGGCGACTGGGCAATCATAGCTCCAGGCTTACGTCGCCCCTTCGCCCGCGGCGGCGGAGTTGCCAGCGGCCAGCGGTGACTCGCCTGCGGCGAGCCGTACGCCGCTTCTGGCGCCAGATGCACCGGTGCTGGCGCCTGCATCAACTGCCACAAAGGCACATAGAGGGCCCAAGGGTCCCACCGGCATCTTGGTGAAAACGAGGTGTGTGTGTGTGTGTGTGCGTGGGTCGGGGTGGGTGGGGCAACGCAGGCGCAGGGAGTCAAGGTGTTTCTTTCCATCAATACCCTTCAACTTATGGATATCTTGGCCAGGAGCGTTTTCCTTGGGGACGGGAGCGGGGGCATTTTGGGTTTCCATGATCAAAGCCGGACTCTAGCGCTTTCAGTTGTTTGCGGCCATCTTTGCACATGCGAGTCCCATGTTCTGCATGACTTTCATTCTGCGAGCTTCACTTGGGCAATTCAGAAACCAGCCGGCGAGAAATTGGTCATGACTGCAAAAACCAGGCACATCATTCACGTTGGTCTCTTGGATTTCTGGTTGCAACCGTGCCACGACGGGTCCGGTCCCTTGCAGCGTTACCTCGCCAAAACCAGCAGCACAAGGGTGTACCTTTAAGGCAATGCGAGCACCCGAATTGTAAAAGTAATAGCCATATCTGAATTTCCCGGGCTTTCCTCTCTTCGATTCTTTAGTCGTGAAACATGTTCTCAGCTGGTCAGAAATACTAGAACATTTTTTGAGATTCCTTTGTTCTCCCTTTCCAGGTCACTTGCTCTTACCCGTCTAATCATAGTTTCGGAACAAGACTGGCAGGGGGACAAAAACGTGACCAACCCTGAAACAGAATGGACACGGAATACGTATATGAGATCATATTTGTATAGACGTGGATTTATTTAATTAATTGGATATACATATATATATATATGTATAAATATATGTATATACACATACATATACATATACATAACTATATACGTGGCTCTCCACTGCCCATTCACACAGACGTTTGTATCCAATTTCCTTTGGCCTGAGTGGAGCCCCCAGTCGAAACGACGGGACCCGGCCCCTACAGTGCGCCTTGCTGAGGAGACGTGGGCAGCGCGGGTCCTCCGGGCCCGCCAGGGCCGCCGGGGCCCACCATCGTGGTGGGCTACCAGGGCTTTGGCTACAACCCGCCGGGGGCCCAGGGAGTGGGTTTGCTTGGATTTTCCGGGGTGAGTTGCTAAATGGCACTCCACCGCTCTTGGTTCAAGTGTTGTGTTGTTTTTTTGGGGGGTTGTTCTTTGGGGGGGTTCTGTTCATTTTGAGGTTTGGGGGCTGCAAAACACAGTCAGTTTTTTGCCAAGCCGTGCCAAGGTTGTGAAGTTCAAGTGGGGGAAGCAAAGGGGAGGACTAAACCAAAATGGGGGTTGTGGAATGTACCCAACTGAGGACTGAGGGTTGGCCTGGCCGTGGACTAGTCCACTTACTTAAAAGCTGTGCCAAACCTGAAGTGGAAAACTGGTGGACGAGTTCCTTTAGTTCCCTTTACAAGCGCATGTGTACCGATAGATATTTTCTTCGATATAGGAAGCTCACCGATGAGGGTATCCTGCCTGGCTGGGTTCTCTTTGGCTTCGCTCTCATGAGCCCCCAAAAGGGTAACTACACCCATGAACGTCTCCTATTGAGTGTTCTAATCAGACAGAGATTGTTGAGGGCTGATTGTTTTTGGGGAAAACATGCAAAGGGATCATGTTTGTAAAATAAGTCAACTCCCACAACAATATGCAAAACAGGGACCATCCCTGATTAGCACGGTCCTTCAGGTGAATGCGAAGTTCATATGAGTCCAGAGCCTTTCTGTTTGAGTCAAAGCGAGTTGCTTCTAAGTTGGTGAGTTGCTTGTCCGGTACCATGAGTGTATCGTTGCCGTTCAGAGCCAATATGTAGTAATCGCACCAGGGAGGTAGCAACAATTTCACTTCTGGCCAAGAATCTACTTGTTGCAGGCAGCTGCCTTGCTGTACTTTGCTGCGTTTTACTCGTGTGTGTTTAGCCATATGTTCCCACCAACTAGTAGCAAGCTTCCCCGTGTACAGGGGTCAGCCATCCATCAAGTCTTTTTCCATGGCCACTGGGTAAGTCACCAAGTAAATAGCAAGCAGCCGTCGATGTTGGTTCGGGAAGTGCTGAGGTACATGATGAACCCGTACGTGATGCCCAACGGGATGCCCAACGGGATGCCCACCGCGATGCCAAATATGCCGATGGCAAACATGCCGAAGCTTGGATACAACCAAAGCCGACCAACCTGCAGGTTTGTCATTTGTCCTTTGGTTTCCTTTTTGGCTTAGGATTGGGGGACGCAGGAGCGCAAGCCACAAAATGGATGTGACCTTTTTTTGGTTGGAACCCCTTGCTGTCAAAGGGAACCTAAAAGGGAACCTTGACAGTTTCCGGGATCCAAATCCACATTCTGTGAAAGCCCAAAGCTTAATGGGTTTGCCAAATGTTCAGTCAGTGACTTTGTTTTGGTTTCAACGCCCATCGAGACCCTTCCAACATCGGATTCCTTTGTTCAAGGGACTGCTTTCAAAGGAATATTTATGTCCTTCTTTTTAGGCAATTTGGGCACGTTCTTTGCGGCTGGGATTGTCGTAAAACAATGGGTTGCAACCCACCTCCTCAAAAAACGCCTCCCCCTAGCCCTCTCCGGCTGGAGTTATTTGGGTTTGGAAACTTTTAGTGGTAAACACAAAAGTTAGACTTTTCTGGCCAATCCACTCGATCAGAAGTGAGTGGTCTTCTTCCTAAGGGCAACTTGGAATGAGAAATGGAATGACCCCTATAAACCTTCCATCCTATGGCTTCCTTTCTTCGGAATCCCAAACAGTTCATTCCCAACCGCGCTGCGAAAGTCCCAACTTGCTTTCGTGCCCGCGTCTTGCGTGAGGATGGCCAATATGCCAACAGTCCCCACGCCGGGCATGGCCGCGAACGCAACGGCTTCCGGCTTCGGAATGGGCGGCGTGCAGCTCGGTTCGAAGTGCTTGGGACAAGGCAGTCTGATGTCCTGAGCTCATGGAAAAGACTCGCACAAAGCTCTTTTTGTTTGGACTACTTTTTTTGATGATGGCACGCAACAAGTTTGGACTTGTTTTTGGCCGAGTGCCACTCGGGAAGTGAGCAGTTGGGCACCCTTTAAAGCCAGGACGGGGGGGGGGAGGCGGGTGGTGCCCTTTGGTTAGTGCGTGGACGCGTGTTTGGAGTCCCAGTCCCATTGTCCCAACTCGCTGAACAGGGTCAACCCCAAAACCCTTGAAATGCAAAAAGGCTTCCCCACTGAACAGAGTCATTTTTTGGCGAAGAGGTGTTACGGTTGCGCTGATGACTCCGTTTTCTGCTGGTCAACCCCCCCTCGACTGCTATTGGGCAACGGATCTTTAGACTTGAACTTTTTGGTTGAAATCAAGTTGGGGTTTATGTTTTTTTCCACTAAACCCGCCAAAAGCTACCCTCCCTCCAACAATCATGGAAGTTGACAGGAGAGCTTTGGAAGACTATTTTCCTTTTGGGGAACCCCTTTGTGCACTTCCATGATTGTTGGAAAGAGGGTATTCACTTTTTGCAGAGGGATCAACAGCCACCAAGCCCCAAGCAGGGGCTTTCCCATGTCGATCTCGGGTCATGGGCTGTGGCGTTTTTCGCTCGCCGGCGAGGCCGGCGGTGCCGCCGGTGGCCCTGGCCGCCAGCAACGCAGGCCACCGGGCTGCGAGCCGATGGGTGTGGGCTTTTCGGGTTTAGTTGTGGGCTTCCGGGCTAGGTCCCGCAGTAGTGCCCTTTCTCACCCTTTTTTGGGGTAGGGTTCCCCTACTAAAAACGAAATGGGTGCCCTTATTCTAATCCTCAGTTGTCCAAAGCGAATCGAGCGGATCTGACCTTTTGGTTTTCCCTTTTTGGGTTCCCATTTTTAGTAGAGGTGCCAAGAGGTGATCACCTTTTACTTGCAGGTCCTTTGTGCAAGTGAGTAACTCTAGTGCTACCTTCCCCATTCTTTCCAGGGAGCCTTCTTTCTAGAAAACCCCTCAAATCCCAGGAAAAAACGGCCGGTTTTTGAAGAGAACGAGGGTTGAAAAGATTGGGAATCAACCGCTTCACTGTTCGTGGATCACGTTGTCTGTGTTGTTTTTGTTGGTTCTGTTCGTGTTTAGGTTTGGGGGCTGCAAAAAAAAGGCAGTCAGTTGTTTGCAACCATACCAAGCGTTGAGAAGTCTGGGTTTAGCCAAGCAAACTTGGGGACCCTACCTTTCCGTTTCGAAACTTGCCTTTTTCGGTTTGGACCGTTTTAGTGGCAAAGGGGAAATGTCCTTCCCTTTTCGGACCAATCCACTCAAGAAGTGAGTTGCACACTTGTAGGTTGTGACAAATTGGCTAGATACCGTACTCGCGTTCTCAATTTTGCCTCCAAAGAAGGATGTTGGCTTGTTTCGTTTTCTCGTGCACGCTTGGACAATGCCTCGGAGATGCCAGCCGCTTTCTACTTGCTGGTTCGATAGGCAGGGAATGTTGAAAATGGAATGACCCCAAGAAAAGCCATCCATCCCATAGCTTCCTTTCGGGAATCCCAAGCGGTTCAGTTGGAATGACCCCTATAAACCAACCATCCCCCAACTTGTTTCCTTTCAGGAAATCCCAAACGGTTCAGTCCCAAACCCTGGGTCATTCCCCACCAAGTCGCCTTTTCGCCCATCGCAGGCGCAAAGGAGGCGTGCAGGGACCGCGGGACGGTAGCGCACCCTGGGGCGAGGGGTTTGCACTGCGTGTTGGCCCGATACGCCAAAAACCGAAAGGCTGCCAAAAAGGATACTCAAGGCAACCAAAGGGGCTGATACTGAAGGAACCCCCCGAAATCGTTTTAGGGGGCCACTATGATACCTCTGATTGAGCTAAGCTTCCTCACTTGCCCTTAGGCGAATCGAACGGTTCCCGAATGTTCGTATTTAGAGGTTCCAAAAAGGGGATCACCTTATATTTCCAAGTCCTTTGGAAAAGCGAGGTCATTTGTTAGGAGATGACCCGAAATCTTGGAAATGAAGCCATTATTTGGCTTCGTCCAACCGACAATGATACGGCTGAGTTTAGTAGTGCCTCATGTGCGTCCCAAAGTCGGGAACGCCCGCGTTTGGCGTCCTGGTGGTTTTCCGTTCGGAATGGGTGCTCCGAACAGGAAACCAACACCTAAACCATGTTTGTGGGTGTGTTTTCTTGGGTAAACTTTTGTTGGGTTAAAGCCACAAAAGCATATGTTGGTGGTCCCCCCTAAAAACACACACGCTCGTTTCAAAGGAGTTGGCTGCCAGGGTTTTGGGGTTGCTAACCAACTCCCACTGCCTTTTCCCCCTTTGGTGGTTACCAAAAAGGCTTCCTTTTACCCCCCCTGCAAGTTAACGAAAGGGCGCCAACAGGGCGGTCCATTTTCCAAAAGACTTTTTGGGTTCCATGTTAATTTGTAGAGTAGGGTGTGGGCTTTTCGGGTTTAGTTTCTGGCTTCCGGGCTAGGTCCCGCAGTAGTGCCCTTTCTCACCCTTTTTTGGGGGAGGGTTCCCCTACTGAAATAGACTACCCAGAGGCTCCCAAGGGGGTGCTCGGGCCCTCGGGCCTTCATGGGGCGTCGCGGGGCATCGCCCCTTTTTTTGGGGGGGAGAGGAGGACCCCGCCTGCCTGCCGTTTTTTGGCACAAGCGGCGCGCATGTGAAGCGGCCTTCTGCCGCACAGCGGGGAGCCCCAGCATCGGACGGGCCAGGTGTTGCAAATAACTGCAAAACAATTAAAACAACTTCCCAGTACAACATGTTTTCCAAAAAGCCGTGCTGGGGGGACCTTGAGCGGCCTGTCCTGTCACCTTGGGGTGCTGGGCGCCTACTGCAAAATCTTTCCACTTAAGATAAATGCAATGTGTGGCCCTTGAGATTGAGATGGCTGGTGCCTGCAGTTCAAAGAGGCTTGGAACACTTATACCGGGTGTCTGGTGCCCGCGTCGATAGGCAAAGCTGTGAGCTATTGAGCTACATGGGGGCTGCCTGTCAGTTTCAGACCTTGAACTGCATTATGGCGAAGTACCTCTCCAAAGTTCTGGTGCCAACAGAAGATCTGTGGCAGCCTCTGGAGATTCGCCCAACCATGCCCACGAAACTTTCTGCGCAGAGCAGATTGGTGGCTCTTGGGTTCAGCTGGCACACCAAAGCGTCTTCGGCGCAATGGATGAAATGGTGATGCTTCGGGATGAGAAGCCAAAGGCAGCGGTTGACAGCTGTTCCAGCCACCAACCGGGACTGCCGGTGCATGTCTGCGTATGCACGCAGATGCAGAAGCACCATGCGGTGGAACTCAACCGCAGTGTCCCGAGGCATGACCAAGCCAGCGCTATCCATCAGCTGGAGTGCCCGAGCATAGCTGAACAAGCAGACGTGCACTTGCCTATCCAGCTCTGTCGCTGTGGCCTGCGAAGCCAACTGCTTCGCGCTGTGGGCCAGCCAAAAGCTGAGCATCTTGGATGCTGCAGCCTTCGAATTGAGGCAAGGGTACGATGCACGCAATTTGCGGCAAAGCCTTGCTGGAGTGAAACGTGGGTGGGTCCCAGACAGTCCAGCGTGTTTCTTCCACGCCACAAAGTGCGCGTACGCAGCGCGAAGAAGCGGAGCCAGCTGGTGCTGATACTCTCCGTGGTCTGGCCAAGCTCCGTAGAAACCCCGCTCGCACAGATAAATCAAGCCTGATCCGTTACAGAGCTTGCCTGTTCCCAAGAGCTGCGAGTGACAGCAGTCATGCAGAAATCGATCTGCTCGTACTCCGGGCACTGAGAAGATGGGTGATCCTGAGGTTAGATGGCAAAGTTGCTGGGGAACTAAGTTGAAAGATAGTGGTAAACAATGACAACACTCACTGGATGGCGAACTGACTTCCAAACCGGCAAAAACCTTGCATGATGCTGGCCGGGCTCTGTCCTCTGGCGCCGTTCTGTCCAGGAAGGTCTGATGGCTGAAGCGCACCTGCATGTGTGCTGCTGACTCGTTGAAGTTACCCAGCGTGTAGCCGATGTCACTGCATTTCTTCACGCACGGGCATCTGAGGCAGAACTGGTTCTGGCGGTAAGTGTCGAACCCAAACTTGTCCATTACGTATTTGAGATCCCCCTGCGTTGACGAGTAGGTGAAGCGCCATCCGCTGGGTGACCAGGGGTGGTCATCGCGCTCAAACATGCGTCGCATCCGAGGAGCCAGCGCAGCAAGTATGTCCGTGAAAGTGTTTCGAGTTGCAATTTGCTCGGCGTAGACGCAGCAAAGACAGTACCGCTCCATTGCTTGGTTGCCGAACGCCAAGTCTGAGCACCAGCCCAACACGTTCACCGCGCCGGCTTCTGTGTTCTTATACGCCTGCACCTCGTCGCCATACAGAGAGAAGGGTATGAGTTTGCTTTTGTCCTCCACCGCAGCAGCTGGGTGGGTTGCATACCAATCCGCCATGGCTGCGTGGTGCCAGAACTGGCCCGGAGCGGAGAGATCGTTGCCGAGCATTATCTTCTCCCACGCTGCCGGCCCCCGACTCCAGATCGCCGAAGCCAGGTCATCTGGAAAGATGACGGGCGTAGGGCGCCAAATCTCAGTTGCAGTGCGAAAGTCATAAAAGCGCGCCCTCACATAAGATATAGGCGCCGAGAAGTACTGCTCCGTCTTGGCCATGACCCGGTGCAAGTCGCGTTCGCAGTTTTGCGTGTGGCGGCCGCTGGACCCCAAGCCGGATAGCTTGGCTACCATGTCAGTGGAAGGAACGGTGGCGCCGTGCGAGATGCTCCAGCGCATTGCCCGCAAGGCAACGTCTTGCACCTGACAGCGGCTAGATGGAAAACTTGCTTCAATTGCTAGATGGAAAACTTGCTTCCCTCCCCCCAGCACGCAAATTCATTAGCTTCAATCGCACCTATTACCAAGCGCAAGTGGTAAAGTCATCTCTTCTGGGGCTTCCTATTTTTCACGGGTTGGCCCCTGTAAAAGGTTTTGTGCCCCAGGCCGAGAAATCTGAACGTGTTGGTCGGAATTGTCCAAGAACGCTTTGAAAGGCAATGATGCCCCAGTGGCGGGGATGAATGGCAGGAGTATGTAGACAGGTTTTTTCTGTTTGTAAAATGCTAGGTTTTCGGCAGGCTCACACGGGCCTGAAATCGTTTTGTTTGCCCCGCCTTGGTAGCGCTCATTTGCCCCTTGGCAAAGCCCTGCATCAGAAATTCTGCAAGTCCGTCAGGCTCATCCTAAGATCCGCGCCCCTTTGGAAAATGGGTGCCCTCTCATCACAAACTTTGGCTTGCAGCTGAACCACTTTTTGTCCATACTATTTAGTAGGGGGCTACAGCATTGATTAAACCAGCCCAAAAAGGGCATCCCTGAACCCAAACTCTGCTTCCCCAGAACCTTCTATGTTCAAAGCCCAAGTTCGTTTGTAACAGTAACAGGCTACTCTGGGTGCAACTAAACAGGCCCAAAGGATTCCCTCAACCAAAACTTTGGTTCCCCCTGACGAACCCCTCTGTGTTCGAAGTTTGTTTGTGATGGGACTACGAGTGCAACTAAAAAAACCAGCCAAAAGGAACCCAAACTTTGGCCTGTTTATAGGGGGCTACGAGGCCAACTCTATCAAGAGCACAAACTTTGGATTCCCTTCATTTGTTTTTGCTTGTAGGGCAACCCTCAGCCCAAACACTGTTTTCCCTCTAATCCCCGTTTTTTGCTCCGGGAGCTGCCGTCTCCTCCTGCAGATCGGTCGGCCGCTCGCTCTGTAGTCGAGGTCGCTTGGGCGGTCGATCCTTCAGGCGCGAGGAGGCGCTGGGAACTGGGGGAAGCCAAAGGAACTGGTTTGACGGGGCTGGCTCGAGTGGAACGACGTTTTACTTGCTCAACTTTATTGTCAACTCTTTTGCAACCAAACTCGCAATTTGATTATTCCTGCTGCAGTGAATAATAATTCCATGACTCCCTTCTTGGGTCCTCAAATACTTTTGGGCAAGGGGGTCAGAAGCACAAGTTTTTGTGTTCTACTCGGCGGGCTGGCCTGCGAAGAAGAAGGCCTCGCTGTGGAGCCGTCTGCTCGCAGTGCCGGCGCGCAGGATGGCTTGGCCTCGGCAAACAAAGGAGGCAGTGCCCATTGTATGGATCAGCGGTTGGCACACATCAAGTTGCAACCGCCAAATGTTTTGTCTACAGCCCTGCCTCATGCAGCTTTGGAGCACCAGAGCCAGCAGCCGCAGAAGCTGCTGATTCCGAATGCTTCCGGGCGAGCACGCCTGACCAAAAACACTGCCGGAAAGGCTCCAACAAATGTTCCGTCGATTTTCTTCTTTTTGGGGGGGTTGACAGCGTCACAAATGTTCCGTCACTTCTTTTTTTGGGGGAGGGGCTGACAGCGTCAACGTTCAGTGAAGGTGAGTCAATTTCGAACACGCGGGGTGGCGTCCAAGCGCTGCAACTCTTTTCTGAACCTTTGCAATGCTGAGCTCGCATTTGCGGCGCGTAAGCTTCAGATGCTCCAGGCACTAGTGGCTAGTGGCCCGCTCCCCGTGGGTACAAGACAGCGCTTGTACTTCCCACCGCAATCCCCCGACCGAGTGCAAGCAGCAGCGATGGTGACAGCTAGATTCTGTAGCCAGGAAACAGTACACTTTGTTGGGCTTTAGTTGGACACTTCGGCCTGGGGTATGTAATCCACACAAGCACGAAACCTTAGAGGCCTGTGTGACCACTCAAGATCGCTCACATGTCGGACCCATCAACTGAAGCCTCAGTCAACGCGCACCCTGAACCTCCAATTGGTGGCGCACGTAAAGTGGCCAAGTAGCCTTGGCCTTCTTTTTAGACCCAGCAGACTTCTCCTTCATCGCCCGCACCAGGGAATCTGCGGCCGCCTTGTCCTCTTCGAAGAGGGCCACGCGCTCTTGGGTCAATCGGATCGCCGCCCATACCGCGTTATCATGGACCTCCCCGCGGTCCTCCGCACCCAACAGTCTATCTCATGCTTGGTTTTCATGAATAGGTTTTATGCCGTTTTGGCCTAGCAAAACAAAATCCGCCTGCATCAATCAAGGGGTCCGGGAGCTTTACACCTATCCCATATTCAGCTTCGGTTCTCACATTGGGTTGCTGTTATTTCTTCCGTGTGGGGTGGTTTATCCATCTTGCCTGTTCTTGATATCAACCCTGCATCTAAGGCTCCGGGAGCTCCACACCGCGCTTCCTGATATGAACCCTATATTTAAGGAGCTTCACACCCACCCCATGCTCAGTTCAGTTCTCACACCGCTGCAACTAGCTTGCATGGAGTTATTCTTTTTGCACTTTTTTCAGCGTCAAAGATTGTCAGAAGTCGCACAGGCGGCACACCCGCAAATTGCACCAAACCCAGCCACTTTGCGCAGGCCTGCGCATGAACCCTGCGCAGCCGAGATGCACATGAGCATTCTTACAAGGGAACTTTTGCGCGGGCCTTCCAGCCTGCGCAGTCGAAATGCACATGAGAGCCCGACAAAGGGAACTTGCGCTCGCGAGCCTGCGCAGTCGAAACGCACTCCGATCTCACAAGCGAACTTTTGCGCGAGCCGGCGCCCCGAAAATCGCGCCTTTGCGCGAGCCGTCGAAATGCACCTCCAGATTTTGCCGTGTTGTACGTGAACACCATGAAAAAACGGTTCAGACTACGGTGAGCACCCTGATCTATCCCCTTCCCTTTACTCTTACCTTAAGAATAACCCCTTAGTGTAGACATTGTTTGGGGGAAAGGGGGGACACAAAGATTGACAACTTGTGGGGTTTCATTGTTGCATTCATCAACTTAGTGCGCGCTTCCGAAGACTCCCTCCTACCGGAGCATATAACAAGTTTTTTTTGGCGGTCAACCACTTAGTCCTTCGAGGTGAGTCCCTTCATTTGCACAAAGCTCTTTTCCAGGGAATCCGCGTGAGTTGACATGATGCCACCTCACGACGGGCAAAGATGCCGCAAGCGCTTCTTCACACATGCGTGCAGTGCCAACGCGCGCAGGAAGACACAGTACGTTTGCTGATGATTTGGGAATTTAAGTCGGTCAAGGCACAAAGGTGCTCTTGATGCTTCATCCCATGGAGCAGTACAGGGTACATTTTGCACTGGGTCAAGTGCTGCACGAGCTGGCCCAGAATCCATTTGCCTGCTTCCAGAGCCTCTGCAGGCATTGTTTTCCTGCAGCGTGGGCGCCCAAAGCAAAAGGGAAACAGTGGACCAGCGTGAGCCGCTCAAAAATGCCAGCAAGGTTCCTCTGTTCCAACTTCTCTTGCCTGGCGCGCTCCTTTGCCTCCTTGGTTGCCACCTTTTCCGTAGGCTTGGGATCCGGAGTCTTGTTTTCCTGCGGGGGTGCGTGTTCGGGTCATAAAGTTCAGGAGTGAATGCATGCGAGTCAACAACTGCGTCCATCAACTTACAAAAGGCCTCAGTTTTGTTGGTCTTTCCAAACTTCGGCATGTACGCGTTGTTGGTCAGCATGTTTTCCATTGTCTCTGCGCCAGCCATTGCCTGAGCGGCCTCAGGTCGATCAAACGAGAGAAAGGACGGCAAAAGGTTCGGGCCCTGTGCGGTCAGGGGGCCTCCGTGTTTGGATCCATCGATCCCTCAAGTGTGGTAGACATCTTATCCGTGCTGACGTCATCTTGAGCAACCGAAATGTCAAGGAGCACCTTGGATCCAGACGGTGTAATACAGATGCGCTGAAACCGGGAAACTTGTTTTTTAGCACAAGCATCGTAGTACATGGCCATTGCCGGGTTCTCTGGGAAGTCCGGGTGTTCACGCATGCAGGATTCCCTTTCCTTCTTGGCGCACAGGTCGTCGACCAGGAGCTTATTACCATGGTACATGGTAAGAAGCTGATCTTTTGTCTTCCAGCCTAACAACTCAAGCAGGAACGGGATAGGCTCCAGGCTCCGGCAAGATTCAGAGTGCAGTCAACTGAGTTTGGGAACATGTTCAAGGCCAAGCGGCCCATCTTTTTGCGAGACCTGGTGACGTCCTCGCGGCTGCGCTGCATCGACACCTTCAGCCTCGAATGCTTCAAAATGGAGATACCCTTTTTGCGGGCAAGTGTTCCCAGGACAGTGTGACAATTGTTCTTATTTTTGACACACGCGCAGCCAAGAGTCGCTTTGGCACGGCTGTTTATATGATAAGGCTTGGGAGCCGGCGCGGGTGAAGGGAAGGCGATTGGGCCCCATCTCATGGTGACTGGCTCGACCCAAAGAGTTTTCAACAACTATTCCAAAAGCTTTGTACCAAGGGGCGATCCAAAGTTTCCGCCGCCCCTGCACCACAAGTTGAAGAGGGCGGTCTTAGCGCTCCGACTGTTGGTCCGGACAGCCTCTGCCCAAGCGAGCCGCAGGTCTTCTTGCACGGTCACGCTCACCGTCTCACCAGACACTTGCCTGCAGCAAAGGGGGCGCGGGACAGGCGCCTGAGGTTGTGTTTCGTATGCCGCGAAACCAAAACAGCCGGAACGAAGCGCCTCTTGAACACCGCATAGTGCTGCTGCCGCTCTTGGTTGCTCTTCGGCTCAATCGGTTGCACCTGAAAGACGCACGCGTTTACTTGTTTGTGTGTGCGGACGTGGGGGTCTGGGCTGCGCGCGCGTTTGGTGAGGGCTCAAGTTTCAGACTATACTGCGCAGGTGCCACACCCAAGTACTCAAGCCAAGCAGCGCCGGGTAAGATCTCAACATCTGGGATCAGGGCAAGGGCTCCAGAAGCTGGCGCGGTGGTCCGCAAGATTGGCTGCCGGGGCGCGGCAGCATTGGGAGGTGGCGCAGCCGCTTTCTCTGCTTTAGCCACTGCGCTCTGGAAGCTAACCTTGGGGGAGGGCCGAGTGGCAGGTGTTGCCTCAGCCGGCTGCACCTCGGTACTGGCAGGCTCCGAGGCAGGGGAGTGCGAGGCAGAAGGAGTGGCTTGTGAAGGGGAAGCAGGCATGGTTGGCGTGGCTGTGGGGGCTGCCTTTGCACGGGCGGGCGTAGTGGTGTTGGCCAGAGCCATCTTCATTGGCGTCCTGGCTGCTGCATCAGCTGCATCCAGCTCCTGCAAAGTCAAGAAGTCACTGCCAAAATCCTCCTCTGCAGGGTCGGGCAAAGCACCCTCAGACTGGGAACTTTCAGGAGGAGATTCCTCTGACTGCTGAGAGATTTCTTGCTTGTGGCTGCTTGGGGTGATGGAAGGCTTTGGCGCAAGTGTGTGACGTGCTTTGGCTGTGGGCCTGGCGCTGGCTTGGATGGGCAAGGGCTCAACCTCGCGTTTGCTCGGTGCTGGACTTGGGCAAGGCGTTGCCTTGGACGGAGTCACGCGAACATTAAGCGCAGAAACCGGCGGCGCTGTCTTTGCCAGTGGGGGAGAGCTCAAGGCTGTGCTTGGGCAGGGTCCGGCCCTGTGGTGCGTCATGGTATCGGAGAGCTCAGTCTTGGCGGGGTGCTGTGCCAAGATTGCTGCCCAGGACTTCGCAGCACTGGCGTACAGTGCCTGAACCCTTGGTGACTCCTGTTGGAGCAGAGGACGTGGCTTTGGCTTTGGCGCTTCCGCGGCGAAGTCGAGGTGCTTGGGCTGCGCTGGCGACAGCTCTTCTTGTGGCATGTTGGTGGGCCCTCGTGTCTCAGGCCCTGATTTACAGGCAGTGGCACGGCTGCGGGCTTTCTTGGCTGGCTCAGCCTCTGCGGGCTGCTCGCGCTTTGCTTGCGTAGGGGGAGTGGCGGTGTAGTCAAGCGAGACTGAGGATCCGGTGCGGCATGGGGTCATAGTCCTCACTCACAGTGCGCGCTAGACGTGTAAAATACGTGCGCGTGTACTTGTCTTTTGCGATACAAATACTTTGCGCTTGCGCGTGAGAACTTTTTTGCCACGTCTAGTTTTCAAGGAGGAGTGTTGATTCCAGCTAACCACGGACCAATGGAGCTGCGTTTACGGTTGTGTTTGTTTGCGTGCGTGCTTTTTTTGAGAATGCGCAAGGTTTAAAGCACCGGTCTACACGTGTCCGTGCTTGTGTGAGCGTGTGCTGTTGCGCGGGCGTGTTTTTTGTATATTTTGTGTGGTTGTGTGCGTGTGGGCATGTGTGTGTGTGTGCGTTGTTTGTGCTTGTGTGTCACTGGCGCGTCGCAAACTAAAACACCGCACACGCGCAAGGCACACATTTGAGTGCTTGAAGGCTGCTTTCTGATTTCGGGTCTTCTGATTCGAGACACGTGGATACAAATGAGATGGGAGTACCTCCCTATAAACAGCAAGGGTGCATCTCTCCATCCACCGTATAGAGCGGGCACGGGCACCGTCGGCTGTGTGCTCAAGAGGCCAAGACACGAATATAGATCAGGACTTCCGTGTCCCTGCGCAGCGACCGATTAGATGAGCCTGGTGGTTCCGTGTGGTTTCAGCTCGTAAGAACATGCGTTCAAGGCGCTTGCTGAGAATCGGCCAAGGTTGTTTGGCTGTCGAGGCGCATAATTGCAGACTCCTGGTGCAGATCCCCAATAGACACTTGTGTTCCAAACACCCTTGAGCCTTTGCCCCAGAAAGACCTTCCCCGATTATCGAAAGATTGCTGACCCGGTCCAAACACATACTCAAACCCCGCCTGGCAGGCCCCAGGCCAACGCTCAAAAAATGTCTTAATCCTCACGGAGTAGGGGACCCATTCCTAGCGTCAGTTCATGCTGCACACTCGGACCAGCAACTGCGTGCCACTTGCAGTCCTTGACCGAGCTGGTCGGGCGCGCAGGCATGACGAGGTGCGGGGAAGGAGGGACGCAGCTGGGCGACCAGGGCTCCGAAACAAAACCAAAATGCTGAGGTCGAGAGAGGTGAAAAAACGCGAAAACTATCCGACGGCTATCCGACGGCTATCCGACGGCGGGCCCCCAAAACGTCCTAATTTCGAGGGCCCAAGCCCGCCTATCCGACGGCTATCCGACGGCCATCCGACGGTGGGTTTGAAAAGTTTGCATCGGGTAACATTTTGGTCTATGCCCAGGTCACCCTATCCGACGGCTATCCGACGGTTTCTAGTTTGGGCCCCGCACCATGGGCACTAGCCAAGCTTCCCAACCTGCGAGCTATCAATTCTCGCGCTCGCGCTGTTTGATGACTGCTTAAGCTTCGAGCATCAAGCGAGGGGACGGGAGGGCGTGTAGCGGAACTGCGTAGGCTCACCCCGGAGCAAACCAAAGACATGCAAACAAACGCATGTGTAGCGTGATACCGTACGGTAAGATGGTCCCACGGATAGGCGTCGGATAGCCGTCGGATAGTCGGCGTCAGATAGGCGTCGGGCGGTCGTCGGATAGGCGTCGGATAGCCGTCAATAGGTGTCGGACACGCGTCACATATAGTAGGCGCAGATGAATAGGCGTCGGATGGTCGCCGGATAGGCGTTAACGGATAGGCGTCGGATAGCCGTCGGACATGCGTCGGATAGCCGTCGGATAGGCGTCGGATAGGCGTCGGATAGGCGTCGGACAGGCGTCGGATAGCCGTCGGATAGGCGTCGGATAGCCGTCGGATAGCCGTCGGATAGGCGTCGGATAGGCGTCGGATAGGCGTCGGATAGGCGTCGGGTAGCCGTCGGATAGGCGTCGGATAGCCGTCGGATAGGCGTCGGATAGCCGTCGGATAGGCGTCGGATAGGCGTTGGATAGGCGTCGGACAGGCGTCGGATAGCCGTCGGATAGGCGTCGGATAGCCGTCGGATAGGCGTCGGATAGGCGTCGGATACGCGTCGGATAGGCGTCGGGTAGCCGTCGGATAGGCGTCGGATAGCCATCGGATAGCCGTCGCATAGCCGTCGGATAGGCGTCGGTCGGACGTCGGATTTAGGCGTCGCGGCGTCGGATGGACGTTGGATTTGCGTCGGATGGCCGTCGGATGTTGGATAGCCATCGGATAGGCGTCGGACATAGTGGACGTCAGATAGTGCGTCGGACAGATGCTGGATAACCGACTGATAGGTCGGATAGCTGTGGGACACATACGTCGGATAGGCGTCAGATAGCTGTCGGACACATGCGTCGGATAGGCGTCGGATAGGCGTCGAATGCTTGTAGGCGTCGGATATGCGTCGGATAGGCTTCGGATACCTGTCGGATGGGCGTCGGATAGCTTCGAAGTTGAGGGTTGGACCCTGCCGGTCGCTCGCGCAGTTTGGCTGTCGGATAGTTGTTTAAGGCTGTATTTAGGCACGATATGTCCTGGGTAGGAGGCAAACTTATAAGTTTCCCTCTGCGTACACCAAAGAAAGGGTCACGCTCAACGAACATAAAGGTTTGTAGGGGACCACGTTTGAAGAGACCAAAACCCCAAAACAGCGCGCCCTCAACCAAACCTGCAGCCCTCTTGCGCTCTGGCCGTCCCCAAAAACGCACGCTGAACCTCCAACACCAAGAAGAAAGACTTCCTCTCAGACCATCTATTTTGGGCTCCGCAGGCTCCAGCCTGACCTCTATTCCTCTTTTTGTTTGGGAGGGGGGATACGGGGCACTACAAGTCTTGCCAGCCTGTGGGAGGCCACAGGTTTAGCAACCAAAAGGGCCGTCAACCGCATCTCTAGTTTCCTGCATGTTAGTTTGTGTGTAAGGGACTATACGGCTTGATCAAAACATCCCCGAAAAGGGCAGCTTCAACCCGCACTTTGGTTTCCCTTTTCCACGCAGTTGTAAAGTCCGCTTGTAGGGCACTTAGTTAGGCCAGCCCCACAACACCCTCAATGCACACTGTTTCCCTGTGAGCACTTGATTTAGTTGGGAACGCACTCAACACACACTTTGGCTCCCCTCTGTGCGCTCCATAGTTTGTTAGGTCTTAAATTTGGTTAGACCAACCCCCAAACGGGCGCCCTCAATCCACACTTTGGTTGTAGGGGGGCTACGAGCTTAGTCAAACCAACCCCCAAACTCGCAACCCAAACTTTGGCTTGCTTCTGAGCCGCTTTTCGCTCTCCAGTTAGGAACTTCAGTGGCTTGCCCAACGACCTTTGCATTATAACAATAAATTACCCATGTGGAAAGAAACATAAAGCTTGCGCAACATGGTCGCCATTGTTTTTACTAGCACGGTCCACTTTCAGTCCGAGATTGCCTGACAAGTCCTTTTCTCGGGTTTAGTTAAACAGCCCACAAAAAATGATGCCCTCAACCAGCTACGGGTTCAGTTACACCAGCCCATGCAAATACTCTCAACCCAAACTCCAGTTTCAATCTCTGAACCAAGTTTTGTTCCATTGTGCGTCGAGGTGGTCTTCCCACCACTGCGCTCTTTTGCCTCTTTCCCTGTCCAAATACCGCTTTAACGCGGAATCCACGTGTGAGACCCCATGTTTCCACAAGATTGCCCTGCAAGGGTCCTTGTAAGGGTCCTTGCCGTATACTAAAGCCAAGCCGTTTCTGTCTTCGGAGGTGTGGACTACAATGCGCGGGCGGTGGCTTCAGAGGAAGCCGGGCCGCTCGCCGAATCAAATCTCGCCCGATCCCTTGCCCAAGTCAGCAGCTGTATTCAGACCAACAAGATGGCTGACATTGTCACCCTTTGCGCTGCAGCTAGATTGGAAAAGGGTTTGTGGCATGTTAGAACCCAACAGAGCTCACGCCATTGGCAGCTCCGGCACAGTGAGGTGGAGCAGAAGTGCCACCTCGCCAGCCCATTTGAAGACTATGTGTGTTTGGGTTTGGCTTACTTGTTTTACTTGCGACAAGTGGCTCGAGACATCATCAAATTGGCGTCTTGGGTGAGCAGTTGGTGTGACGGGGCCGATCTTCTGTGCTGGGGAGCCACGAGTGTCATTTTTGGCTTGGGGAACTTGAGCTATCAAAGCAATGTCGGGCACCCCTTTAATTTGTGGGTTTCAAGGAAACGCCAAAGCACAAGCCCTGTGTGTGTTCCATTGGTGCACCGGCATCCCAAGAGTCCTGATCCAGAATCATCAAAACACGCAGGAAGCTCGCCGGCATGACGAGGTGGACAAGGAACGCGCAGGCGCGTCTCGTCGCCCGGGTTCTGGTGCATCCTTGGCTGTGTGGACATACATCAAGGCTCCACGCTGTTTCGCAATCTGTACGCACGTAGGCGCGCCTGGTTTAGCGCTCCACAGACCATAACACAAACGCAAATCCCGGATCAAACGGAAAAAAAAGCCTCGAAAGGGCTTGCTCCGGCAGACGCTGCCCTAGAGAGGGCCCAGCAACATCGTCCCCGGCAGTAAGGGCCAGGGGTGACAGCGCTAAAGAACCCAAATGGCTGTTGTGATTTGCGCAACGCGACAATTGCAAAAGGGTTGCCAAAAAAATCATTTCTCATGTTGTTTCCAAGGTTTGGGTCCAAAAGTGTGTGCCGGCCATATGATTTGTTTTCCATCATTTTTGAACTGCTGCAGAGCCTGGAGCACTGCCCCGGTACCAAATGCAACATGCCATTCGCATGTTGGCCCCCGAAAAAGTGCGGCCGTCGGTGTGCGCTATAACCAAAACTCAATCACACTGAGGACAAGTCCTTCATGTATGCGACTCGCTGTGTATACCGTTAGCGCATCACAGCACATTCCTGACTTTGAAACACCTACATAGATGCGTCCGCAGCCTGCTGTTCAGGCGCAACTGTGTTTGGCGCCTCTTTGGGCTCGCTACGTGGCTTCTTGCCTGAAGTTTTTGGGGCCGCTTTAAACGTACCGCACAAGTGGTTGACCAAGCCTTTCTCCTTAAAGAGCTTGCTTGCTTGCCTTGCCCGCTCCTGCACCTGCTCCTTGCCCAACCCCATCG